ATTAACAATTTGTTTTAGCTGAAATTTGACATATAAGTTCATTTCATTATAGGTAAATGTAATCTGAAGAAAATTTTCAAATTCAACTGTAGAGGTTTGGGTTAATTTTTTGATTTAATTGTTAATAGAAATATGAGTATCATTAGATTCGTATTCTTAATGAAAATTCTATATTTAACAAATTTTGACGTTTGAAAGCATTACGAAAGGGCAAGTTCGTAATTTTACGTTTGACCTTCAGTTGAGGCAAATAGAAATTTCTTAATTCCTTGAGGTGTTAGTTTTGTGTATTAAATGAATTTAAGGGTAATGGATAATAAGAGGCTCTTGTATAAATACAATAACGAGCATTATGGATCGAGATACCAATACCATGCTATGAATAATATAAAATGAAATTATTATCAATTGATAGTATCTCATGACATGCGATATGATTCAATTGTTGAAACTTGTGGATTTCTTCAACTTGTGACTAGATGATTTTTTATTGTAGGGTTGAATGACGAATTCATGTTATATATTGTTCATGCATATTCATACCACTCTTATTATTGCATAATAATGATTGATTGAAATTTTTCATTATGTTATTTGTGAAATTCATATTAATATCGATGAGAAATAGTTTCGAAAAGTGACATCATGTAAAGCCATTAAAAAATAATTCCGACGAGTATATGGACCTCATAGTCCCCCATTGATCTTGACTATCCGACATAGAAAGCGGGTGTGTACAAACTGTTGGCCGGTGCATTCCATTTTATTTCTTCGTTATTACATTTCATATTGAGTTGTGTTCAAGTATTGATATGATTGTGTTATTGATTTGATTCATCTTAGAAAAATTGTGATATTATATGTGGTGTAACTGATTTTGGAAATCCACCTGTTTTATTTGTTATGTTGTGGTGATTTATGTTGTAACATAATTATACTAGTGGGAAAAAAATTCTTAGAATATATATATTGTGTTATCACTTTTAGAAAGGATCTGCAATCAAAACTTGTTGAGTACACTTGTTTTACATACTAACTCTATACTTGTTGTACTTTTTTGTGTGCATGAACTGAACCAGATACGTATACAAGTGGTACTTGAGTTGCTATATATTTTTGAGATTTTGCTATTTGAGTCTAGAGTGGGCTATTTTCTCTTCGATAGCACTGGATATTTGAGACCTTATATATTTTTAGTTATTTTCTTCTAGACTATTATTTTGATCCTTTTTGACTTGCTTTGTATTCCTAAACTCTTGTACTGGTGTCACCGGGTATTGGGGTTGTTTTGAATTTAAATTCTTTATTTCCGCACTTTTATTTTTACGCAATTTATTTAGTTATAAAAGTAAGTGGTTATTTTATATTAGTTGCACATTATTTATATTATTAAACAGTTAATAAAGAAATGAGATTCGTCTGTAAGGATAGTGGGTGTTCTCACAACCTAATAAAAAAATTTGAATCGTGACATAACTATTAATTCTTAAAAAAACGTGCAAAGTTCAAACTGAATAAATAAAAATGAACGGAGGGAGTAATCATTTATTCATGTTTTTCCTAACACATTATTTAGTGACAATCTTTGTATCTATGCAACAATCGTCCCAAGGATACAACTTACAAGCACGAATAAACGGGCATGTAGAGTCACACCAAGTCAGTGTACCTGCTGTGTGACATGTCCAATTGGACAGGAGCTTATATCAAGTCCCAAAGCAATTGGCTAATAAAGACATTTGCTAGCTAGGCCCTTTGGAACTCAAACTTACAGACTAATACATCCTATACACACACTGATCATCACTTACTTGAACTTTAATTTCTTTTTAGCACTTGTTTGAGTATACTTGAGTGGGAGGGAGAGTATATGAGAAGGCTTGCAACAACCTAGAACTAGTGTTTAGGATTATTGTCATCAAGTTTGTAAGAGGATTATTATATAGCTGTAATAATTTCTTCTATTGTAAAAGTTGTGACGTTGGTAACAAAAAGAGAGTGTATCCTCTTGATGAGTTGTTGGAATAGTTAGAGTTATTTGCCTAGCAAGGTACTATAATTAGTCTTTTAAATTATAAAGTTGTAAAATCTGAAACCGCTTGTTGAAGTTAGTGAAAGTTTTGTACATCATGTTACGTTTTTCACTAGTAAAGAGGTTTCCCACAGCAAATTGTGTGTTCTTTATTTTACTGGTTTAGCTATCCTTAAGGAACCTGATTCATTAAGCCGAATAGTTGAAACTAGTTTCTTTTAAACCTATTCAATCTTTTACATAAATCTCATAATGTTAATAGTTAATTACATTATTTCTCTACTATTTTTCAAATTACAAAAATCCTTAAAATTTATAAATTGCGGATACACCACTGGATTTCCGGATACATCACTGGACATCCGGATACATAGGTAAGGGATGTATCAAAGATGGGAGGAATGTATTAGATATATCTGACTAGAGGGGAGGGATATATCTGAGAGGGGAGGAATGTACTAGAGGAGATAGGATCCAGATACATAGGAGAGGAAGGTATCCGAGAGGGGAGGGATAATGATGTATCAGCGAGAGAGAAGTGATGTATCCGAGAGGGGATTTTTGAAAAAAATTTAAATGGTAGGGAATTTTGGAGATTATGGTAGAATAAGATGTATATTTGAATATTTTTTCCTTTTTTTAATACCATCAATCATCATATTAGCTTACTTAATTTCTAGATTATCAAATTATTGATAATACATAATTCAAAATGAAAAATTAAAAGAAGACTCAAATATATGATATGAAAACAAAAGGCAGAAGAATCATTCCTCACCAGCAACGCATGCTTGAAGAGCAACTACACCAACCCGTGATATTTTTTTTAAAAGGGAATTAAGAAGAAATTCAATTTAATCAGTAAATAAAGAAGTGATTTAAATTTGTGCAAAAAATGTCAAAAGACTATATCGATGGAAGTTAAATGAGTAACTACTAAAAAAATAACTATCAAAATAAGTGATGAAAAGACTTGCGTTGTAAACTACTACTCCCTCCATTCCATATTAAGTTAATTTTTGAGGTATTTTTCATTTTTCAAATTAACTTAATTGTTCATTTTTCAAGACTACTTTTAGAGTGTTCTTTCAATTTTACCCTTCATTAGTTAGTATGGGAATTAGTGATTAATTAATATTTAGTTATTTTAATCATAAATTTGACAATAATTAATAAGGGTAAAAATTAAAAACTAGGTTCAATTTATGTCTTAATCTACTTTTCTTAAAGGGTGTGAAACACCTCAAAAATTAACTTAATATGGAATGGAGGGAGTAGTAAATAAAAGATTTATTTACAATTAACTATATTAACATTAAATATGCCGTTAATTTTTAATGGCAGAAAAGTGCTACATTGTCTTTTTTCCTAATTAAAACTTCTTTTTTGTTAGAATATAAATTTACATCACCGTACAAAAATGTATTAAGTAATATTAGGTTAAAGGTATCATCATTAGGGGTGTTCATGGGTTGGTTTGGATCGGTTATTGGTCAAAACCAAAACCAAACCAACTTAATCGGTTTTAAAATTATCAAAACCAAACCAAACCAAATATAATATACATTTATCGGTTTGGTGATTATCGGTTTCGATTTGGTTTGGTTCGGTTATTTGGTTATTAACCATACACAAAAATAAAAGAAACAATTCATTTAAAATGTGAAAAAAGTGACAACAATCCATTCAAAACGAAAAATAGTTAGAATGACTTAAATTACTAAACTTTCGATCACTAAATTTACTATCAATAAAGCTTTAAAATTCACTATATTGGTCTAGAAGGAAGAGAAAATAACATTTTCAGTCCCACAAAGAATTGTCATAGACACTCATATACATGAAATTAATAAGATAAATGTTTCATCTTGGGACAATAAGTAAATTATAAAGAAATTTTAATGAAAATATGTATAAGATCTTTAAAATTGTTTATAAAAACAATATATTAAGTATGTATATTAATAAAATATATGTAAATAATTCATCGATTCGGTTCGGTTATTTCTTCGATTTTTTTCAAATAAAACCATAATCAAACCAAATACTATCGGTTTTCAAAAATCTAAAACCAAACCAAATCAAACCCAAATAAAATCGGTTTTATTTTATCGATTTGGTTTGGTTTTTCGGTTTGGATCGGTTTTTATCCAAACCGTGAACACCCCTAATCATCATGATCACTTCACTTTGTAGGGTTATTATGGTGTTTTAACTGTCGGACTTCTCGCATATAATAAATTATAATAATAGAGAATTTATATAGTGATGTTTTTATTTCAACTAATTCAATTTCATTTTACTTTACCAAGTCACGGTACATTTTGCTTAACATCATTAGCCGAATGACATTTTTACAAGAGAAAAATTTGGAAAACTCATTATTATAGGGTGTAGTTATTAATTATTATAGGGTGTAATTACGTAAGGCAGTAATGGTTTAGTTACGGGGTACTAAACTAATATCTCATAAAAGCAAAATAATTATAAATATATATCTCTTTATATTGATATCCCACTAAATAATTACACTATATACCCCCCAAACTAATTTCACTTAACTGATAGTAAATCAATATATATATATATATATATATATATATATATATATATATATATATATATATATATATATATATATATATATATATATATATATATATATATATATATATATATATATATATATATATATATATATATATATATATATATATATATATATATATATATATATATATATATATATATATATGCACTGATTTTATATTAGTTGTCATGTTTTTCTTTCACTGCTGTTTTTTTCCCTGCATTACTACTTTGATTTGCTTCGCTTAAAGCTGAGATATTTGGAAAACAGTCCTTCTACCTCCCTATACTCCACTTAGTGGGATTTCACCGCGTATGCTGTTTTTGTTGCCACATGAGTATAGTTAAAGTTAGCTGCTAAAATGGCAGACTAGTTGTGTTTCCAAACTGAATTTACGTTTTCCAGCATTCAGTTAATACTTTTTGAGTTTATTTATTTCATTACAAAGGTTAGTTTTGTGACATTGTTACAACGAATTGAAAGTTGGATGACCATTCGTAAATTAATCCACACAATGTTTTGCCCATGTATCTCTTGTTCATATATGAGATACTGGCTGAGTCTCTGTGCATTTCCTATTTTACTATAAAACAATCTCAGAAACTGTTATACCTTCACTCTCATTCAGCTTGCCAAACCAAATGCCATGCCTCATGGATTTTGTAAGAATGCGAATTTTAGTTTTGAAGCTTAGCACCACGAAAAAACTCCATCGAAGTTCAGCAGTACAAGTAGTGAAACACCATATGACTGAGAACTACAAGCTCATGTCCGCTGGCAAGCTCCGCTCTAGGAAATATAGGCTGCAATAGGAGAGAAGGTAAAACTACAGCAAAAGTAAAAAAGAAAAAGAAACGAGAAAGTATAAGAAGATAACAAAATCGATATTCAGCAAGCAGCTTTGATGAGGTAGGTGCCATGCCCAAGACAAACAAATTTAGAAAGAAAGAATCCTTTACAGCATGTAATTATAGCAGATTGCTTGGTAATTATTTATATTGGTAAATGAAAGAACAATCAGCTAAGTATGCTGGTATTGCTGAGTTCCTTAAGTACTAGCATTAACTGAATAACAGAATCCTCTGTTATATTTTACTTCAACCATTAGGCATCTAAAAGTTAATATACTTCCATTTTATATAGTAATGTTAAAAAAATTGGATCAAGCAAAGGAGGTTCCACTAGATCAAAAGCATGGAAACAAAAAAATAAATCAAGTTGCCGCTGAGTGCATGTAGTGTTAACTCATTGAAGCTCGGGACCTTTCAAGTCGAAGTACAATAGTTAGCTGTGTTTGGTAACTACCAGGAGTGACGTTGAAGTTTACAGAAGTTATCTCACCTCGCAGACATGAAAGCCATTCCAAGGAATACAGCTTTGACAGCTCGCTTCTGACCGGCATAGTCGAATGCCAATGGAAGCATCTCATGTAAGGTTAAAAATGCCATCACCCCTCCCACTGAAAGCAACATGATCCATTAGAGGATAGCATAATTCAAAAGTAAATGTTTCTCCTTTCTCATCAGTCAAGAAACTAGAAGTAAATAAATATCATATCAACCTGCTCCCAGGAGGCCCTCCAGAATTTCAGGATTCAAGCTGCTTGGAAATAGATATGCTGCAATCAAATCATGTTTAAATTAAAAAATGAATTCTGAACCTATTCTCTGCTTCATGTACACTTTGTGTTCTACTTGAACTAAAAGACATGGATATCAGGTAATTCTTATCCTTCTAAAAGAAAAAGGCATGAATATCAGGTACTCACCCACAATAATTACACCCAGGGGCTCTGCGAGACCAGAAAGTGTTGCCAATTTGAATGCCTGCCATTTGCTGAGACACATATAGACTCACTATATAAATCTCAACTATCTAAGAAAAAAATGGGGATAGTGCATACAACAAGATGAGCTTTGGTGAAACTAATTATGATTGAAGTGTTCTTTAGTCGTTGCACTAGAACTTTATCCTTGCAATGCCATTGACAGAGCCATGATAAATTGTTCTGGGCAGAAGAAAGAATTTTATTTCTACAAAGTGATGAGAGCACCTTGTTGTTACCTTTTGTTGGAGGGAAGAAGGAAAAGGATTTGATTTCATTGATCTTTCTTACTATCTGCGTTTTAATTTCTTATATTCCAAAGCTTCCAGCAACTTCAGTTATGTGCATGTAAGTCTTGCGATTTAAATCGCTGGATGCATTTTATAATTTAAATAGCGTAGTCTTTATGACTCAAATAGCCTTAAGGCCTCAAGCATAAGATGTACAGATAACATGACTTTGTCGAGAAACTACATTCATATGACCTGACTAAATTGAAGATAAGATGTTTACGTGCATCGAGTCTATTAAATAATTAGAAAATTAACCTAATAAAATAAACCCAGATTGGCACAAGCAAAAGATGTTATCCTTAATTAATACTAAGTTAGTTTACTACGAATCATTACCTCTGTGTTGCAAAATAAACTGGAAGTGCAACTGCAACACCCTGCAACCAAATAAATCAGGTCCCCAAATGGAAAAGGAACAAAAAAGACACATCCCTTAGTTCCTTTTAGTTTGATCCCAATAAACATGTTGATTGTTAATTTACCTGTTTTGGCAAGACTATCCACTGTTTTTACAGTAGATGCCTTCCTTGGCATCGTCAATCAATCAACGATCTCAACCCAACTCAGCTAGGGATTTGGTATAATATGGAAATGTATGAAAGAATGAAAAGTGCCCAAACAATGTACAGGCTTTATCTTTAAATATAGGCCACACGTAGCTCTTAATTGAACTGATAAGCACATTGATTTATTATTTACATACATGATCAACAATCTGCTCAGCAGCGAAAATTCAAATAACATGTTCATAGAGCCAAAAATGAATGAAACCAAGAATACTACAGCAATCAAGTACATACACAGACACATTGTGATAGGATAAGATATCTTATATTACAGCTGTAATAAGGAGTCCATTAGTGTATCCTTGCACTCAAGAAACATACAGAAATCAGGAAATAAACTGGTAAATTTGTAAGAAAGTATACCTCTGGTATGTTGTGTAAAGCAATAGCAAGAGCCAAGTTTAGACCAACCCGAAGTCCCTAAAATAAAAGCATGATGAAAACAGAGTAAGCTCTAAATAATTCCAAGTTTATAACTGAAGATCAGTTGCCTGCAAGTTTAGTCACCATAAGAAGAGTGAATTGAGGTGAAACTACATGGGATTGCAGTACCTAAATGCAAACAATTGATATTTAGGCTTGTTGTTCCAGGAGAATGAAATGATAAATGAGGATGTTGCACATAGAATCAAAATCGGATAGTTAAAAATATAGAAGTGTTGCAAGGGTGGTGTTAAGTGATAGAAGGATGTTTATTAAAGTGAAAATGTAAGTTCTATAGAACAGTTATTAGACCAGCAAATGCTGTGTGACTGAATGTTGGACCACTAAAGTTTAACACATCCACAAGATGAATTTTGGATATATGCCGATGCTAAGATAGATGTGTGGTCATACAAAATTAGGCAGGACTAAAACTGATCACATTCGCAAGAAGGTTCAAGTAGCACACATCGAGGATACAATGAAAGAATGTCGGTTGATATGATTTGGCATGTCCTGCATTGACCTCCAAATACAAGTTGTGAAACCATGGTAAGTGAAGGTATTAAAAGAGAACGAGTTAGACCTAAAATCACATGGAAAAAAATTGTCTCGAAGGACCTAGAATATCTGAGGTCCATGTAAGCTAAGCAAAAGATATAGCACAATAGAAGAAAGATTTACATAGGCAATACATATTCGTTAAGAGTAATTTTAGGGATGCTAGCACTTTGACGAGAAACTATGCTTTCTAAGAGTGGTTTAGCCTTTCAGAGATTTATGCATTTTAGAAAATATAGAAAACTTCTAATACATTGAATATGTATTTGCATAATATTGGCATGAGATGAGCTTATGGAATCACATGGTCAGTGAAGATTCATATGACCGACCTTAAATTGTTTTGGACTTAATGAAGTTGTTACAACTGAGGATCTTGACTTTTCCAAGAAAAGACTTCAAAATGTCTTCTCATCAAACAAAACAAAGTTATTAACATACTCTTTCTACAACTAACATGTATCAGTAGCAGCACTAGTTCAGCTTGCTTGAAGCCAAACTCAAAAGTTAATTCTGGCACTTCCATTTTTCTTTCCGAACAACAAATGGCACCTAAGGTTATTTGAAAATTTACGATGTAGATACGCAAGAGAAGTATGGGATTGTGCAATTCCCTGCCCTGTAGTTCAGTGCATTTGGTACAGTAGACTGACCACAGAAATGATAAAGGAACAGTTGGAAGTTGATCCGGGAAGTCATCCCTCTCCGATGTAACAAGAATGATGTCGAAGCAGATTATGACCACAAATATTGGGTCTGTAGACCACGTTGTCCTCATGTATTTCCTTTTTCTATGAAGGTTGTTCCGTGCAATTTATATCCAAGAAATGTCTACTTTATGCACAATAAAATGGTACAATGTTAAGCATTTTATTAATATTTCACATTACATAGAGCCTGTTTGGATACTTATTTTAAGTGCATTTAAGCCAAAATAGCATTTAAGCACTTTGTAGTGTTTGGGTAAAATAATAAGTATTTGTAAGCACTTGTTTTTTTGAGAAGGAATACTTTTAAGCACTTGTTTTCAAGCCAAAAAGACAAAAATAAGCCAAAAGCCATAAGTTAGAATTCCTAAATTAGGTTTTTTGTTTATAAGAAAAAACTAATAAGCCCATCAAAACAGGCTCTAAGTGTATGTATCTAAATTTTAATCCTGACACTACTCCAAACTGAATAAAACCAATATTGTGCAAGTTGAGCAACCATGACTAAACAAGTGATATGTAATGTAAATGTCAAAATTATCCCTAATCTATGGCCCCATAAAATATGTTAAAGAATGTTTTCTGTTATCACAACAGTTGGTTCTTGCTCTTAATTTGATTAAGATATTTAAGATTACTTAAACATATGTTTTCTAAAGCTTATTTGCTAATTTTCTTTTAATCTTCAACCACTGTTACCTAACAAGTAAAAGGCAGGTCTTATAACACAGTAATGAAGACCAGCAATGTCATATGAGAGTGATTATTAGTCCTATATATCAAAAACCTGAGTGTCATAGAAATGTTGATGTTAAGATGGAGGATAAAAAAAAGGTCACCTCAGATGCCTTGCGATACCATACCCTATGTAACCTCCATACTCACCAACAATGATGACTAAACGTGATGAAAGGGACCGAGGCAAGCCAAAAATCACATTGATGAAAGGAACCGAGGCAAGCCAAAATCACATTGATGAAAGGGACCGAGGCAAGCCAAAATCACATTGATGAAAGGGACTGAGGAAGTCTTAAAAGACCAATAACCCCTTCAAATGTGAACTTAGCAAAGAATACAACAATTGGAAGTAAAGAATCTATATAGACAATACCAACTAGTTCAAGTTAAGGCCTAGTTGTTGTTATTACACTTACATTTAATCCATTAATTCCACAAGGGCTTTATTCTGATTAGAACTTGTATGTTTATGTAGTAGGTGTAAGTCTGAGATTTAGAGTTTCAATTGTTGGAGAATACCCAATTTTCCTTAAAAGACAAATTACCAGTAGAGAATGGCATAGGCCTAAATAGATTCACGGCTTTAGTGGAAAGCTTAGATAAGGAGGATAAGAGGAAGAATAGAAAGAGGTATAAGGTGGTGAATAAGGAAGCGGTCATGGCTGCTAAAAGGACAGCTTTTGAGTATTTGAATAAAGAGCTCGAGGGGAAGGAAGGGTGTAGGAAATTGTATAAGCTTGTGACCTGGATCATATGAAGTATATCAAGGATGAGAATGACGAAGTATTACCCCCACAAAAAAATGGTGAATTGTTGGTATAAGAGGCACACATTAGACGGAGATGGCAGACATATTTGCATAAGCTCTTGAATGAAGAAAGGGACAGGGATATCGTGTTGGGGGAGTTAAAGCATTCCGAGAGTCGTAGAAATTTTGGGTGTTGTAGGTGCATAAAGGTTGTGGAGGTTAAGGGGCCTATTCGTATGAGCGAAAGAGCAACCAGGCTAGACGAGATACCAATGAAATTTTGGAAGACCACAGATGAAGCAGGTATGGAGTGGTTGACTGGGTTGTTTGATGTCATTTTTAGGACAGCTAAAATGCCAGAAGAATGGAGGTGAAGTACAATAATACATATAAGAAAAAGGGTGATATTCAACATTGCAACAGCTATAGGGGTATGAAGCTACTAAGCAATACTATGAAAGTTCGGGAGAAGGTGGTCGAAATGAGGATGAGGAGGGTGTATCTATATCTAAAACCAACTCGGCTTCATGTTGAGACAATGAACTACAAAAGTCATCCATCTTACAAGGAGATTGTTAAGAGCAGTATAGAGACATGAAGAGGAACTTAGGCATAATATTCATCGACCCAGAAAAGGTGCACGATAAAGTGCCTATGGAGATCCTATAAATATGTTTAAAGGCTAGAGGTGTACCTCAGACTTAAATTAGAGCAATTAAGGACATGTACGGTGGAATCAAGACCTGGGCTAGAACAATGGGAGGTGACTCGAAACACTTTTCGGTCATGATGGGTTGTACCTAAAACCATCTCTCAGCCTGTTCCTATTTGCCTTATTGATGGACAAATTGACACAGCATATTCAAAGGGAGGTGTTGTGGAGTTCGCAGATGACATAGTATTTATTGATGAGATGTGAGGTGGAATTAATGATAGGTTGGAACTTCGGAGATAGACCGTAAAGTCTAAAGGTTTCAGGTAAAGCCGGACAAAAACACCGTAATTGGAGTGCAAGTTTAGATATGTAATGTGTGAGGACAAGGTGAAAGTGAAGATCAATGCACAAGTCATACGTAAGAGAGGAAGCTTCAAGCATCTTGGGGTCCATGATCCAAGGAGATGAGGAGATCGATGATGATGTCACACATTGTATTGGTGCGAGGTGGTCGAGATTAAGGTTTGCATCCAAGGTACTACACGATAAGAGTGTGTTGTCAAGGGTAAGTTCTACAGGGCGGTGATCAAATCAACTTTGTTATATGGGACAAAGTGTTGGTTAGTCAAGAACGCCCACATTCAAAAGATGAATGTAGTGGAGATAAAGATGCACAGATGGATGTGTGGGCGTACTAAGAGAGATATGATTAGAAACGAAGTTAGACAGTACAAGGTGGGCTTGACCTCTGTGGAAGACAAGATGAGGGAAGTGAATAGAGATGGTTTGGGCATGTGAAGAAAGGGTATGTGGATGTGCCAGTAAGGAGATGTTAGAGGTTGGTTATAGTGGGAGTTAGAAGAGGTGTTATGAGAGTAGAGGTAGGTCGAAAAAGAATTGGAGAAGGTGATTACACAAGACATGGCACAACTTCAGCTTACTAAAGACATGACCTTAGATATGAAGGTATGGATGTTAAGGATTAGGGTAGAAGACTTGGAGGAAGCCGAGTATTGTCACACTTTAGGTGGGAGACACAAGGGGCTAGCCCCATCTCCTCTTCACCTTATTAGTAGTAGTATTTAATAATTGCATAGTTTCTTATTCTTCAATGTTTTCTATTATATGTTGTTGCATTTGCTTTGTATCTTGATATTTTGTTGTCATATTTGTCTTGCAACTCTGCTTTGAATAACTTCTCTTTTGAGTTGAGGGTCTATCAAAAAACAACCTATCTACCCCACAAAGGTAGGGTAAGGTTTGTGTACATCTCCCTTCCCAGACCCCACGGGTGAGCGGACCAACTTACCAACATCTCGACTATCCCATAGGGTACCTGGTATAGATATAGATGATACATACAGCCGACTCCAACCATTTTTGGATTTGAGGTGCCATTTATTAATTGAAACATTGTTACCCTTACGGTTCTTAAAATAGAATGAAACAAAATATCATAGGTCAAGCAACAATGACTAAGGTGATCACTATACAAGATTATAAACATCAGACAATCAAGAAAGGAGAACTACCTTCATTGATCCAAGGAACACAGCCATCCCTTCAGGAAAGTTGTGCAAGCTTATACCTGGACAGAAAAGCCAATACAAACCATGTAAGACATCCTATAATGAATGAAGTTATGGTTCAAATGCATATATTATTCTCTTCTATTTCCATATTGCCAGTCCTTTCATCTAATTATATTAAGTGTAATTTAAGAAGAAATGGAGATTAAGAAGTCAATTTGACTTGTATAGTATATCAGTACAAGTAGCTCAATAACTTGATAAATGAATTTTGATTGCTAGAAATATGTGCAAGTACTATAGAATTCTTATTTGCTAAAGTAGTCTTGAAAATTTAGGAATATCTCATACTTAGAAATGTGGTCCCTTGAATTAGATGGGAGAGAATTTGTAGGTAAATGAGCATTCATTCTGTAACAAAACGTGGGGTGTTCCTTTTAAGAGAAAAGAAAAAGAAAAGAGGTACGCGGGGGAGGGGGCTCCCTGTGCAATAGATAAATGACACTATTACTATTGGGGAGTCAAATAGTTTTCTTTTACTAATACAAGTTTATAAAACTTTTTCAAATATTTTAAATTATTAACTCAACAGACTTGTAGTACTTTCCATGCAGTTATCAGAATATGTAAATTTTATTTCAGAAGAAAAGAAAATTTTATGCCAGATTCAAATGAAAATTTGGGGCTTTGACCCTCTTATTCCAAACTTCTTCACATAAAACAGGACGGAGGGAGTATGGTTTTCTACAAACTATTGAGGGAAATCTACTTTTACTATAGGAAGACCTTACATATTACAGCATAAATAAGTTACACCACAACAGTCCAAATAGAGACTTGACTTTCGCTACAGACAATAAGGAATGAACAGAAAGGGATTATTTAACCACAAGACTGTGCATCTAGCACCTACTAGAACCTTAGCTGAAGGGTAAACTTAAATTCTTCTTTTTTCTTCATATAACCATGATGTCTAGGCCAGCTTTCACGCACCTCGACTAATTCCACTGGATACCTAGCACCTCCTACCAACAACTAATTCTAACGACAAACTAGATAGAAAAAACAAATTTAGTAAGATTTGTAATATTCTTCTCATAACTTAGCACTGTGGAAACTGAACAAGACTCCAGATAAGAATTTTGAAAAAACTCCAGGTAAATTATACAGGCCACACTATATCACTCTTAATTATTTTGTTCAAGACTATGCTTAAATTGGGGGCAATATACTTATTAGAAATCTAAGTTAACTTCCTAATAAAATTTCTCATGTAGGTGGGGAGTGCTACTACTTCAGAGACATAAAAATGAAGATTAAAGCAAGATTTATTTTAAGCATATATGTACTCTGGCATAAAATATTTGTATAGTGACTCTGAAACAACAAGAAACGTCAAAAATGGGCTTCCACAATTTGCACTTCATCAGACCTAGTTCACAAACTACTTCAGAGACATAAAAATGAAGAATCAGCTAGATTTATTTTAAGAATGTATGTGCTCTTGCATACCATATTTGTAAAGAGACTCTGACACAACAAGAAATGTCAAAAATAGGCTTCCACTATCAGCACTTAATCAGATCTAGTTCACAAACAATTCAGAGTTCTTCAAATGAGAACTCAAATGGAGGGTTTACAGCATAACAGAATCAAAAAATGCTGTAAAATCTATGGGAATTATCAACAAACCAATACAGCAGACTAACCTACTGCTGTGATGATTCCACTAAATAAAACTTGGCGGCGATGCTTCTTCATAATATCCTTACCCCTATCATCTCCGTCTTTCTGTTCTCATGCAGAAAACCATTTTTATTCTTTGATAGTTTTTGCATAAACGAGATTTTCTCCTATAAAAAACAAATCACACCATACCTTTTTGCCTTTGGCACTTGAAATGGGTGCAAGTGTAGGTTCCGGGATGAAATTTGAAACAAGAGCAAAGAAGATAACACCTGCAAAAAACTGACAGTCCAGAGATTCGCAATTAAGATCCAAGAACTGTATGTTTCTTCTTTAAGTGGAAAACAGATTGAAAAAGTTCAAAATAAAATTAGGAGATAGCTCACCCAGAGGTTTCCTTTTAAGAAGCCAATGGAGTTTATAGCATTATGAGCCAAGTCAAAGAATGATATGCTAAGCATAAGACCAGCAGCAAACCCCTGCACAACCAAAGAAATTATTCAGGTTCAGTTCTCTGCTATCTATGTACCTCTTGGCATTTCCACATCTGACCATAATGAGTTCTTTTAAGCTCAGGAAGCTTAAACCATCAGTAGTTAAAAATCAAATGATCCTTTTCTTCAGCTCAAAATTTAAAATACTCAAGTCAGAAAATATATAAAATAACCGACAGTAAACATTTACCAGACAACATGCTTAAACAAGCAAGTGACAAAGAAACCATGAATCACTTGAATTAACCATTTTACTTCTGACATTCTTACAAATACGATTAACCATCACCTGTAAAAGTCCTAGCATCTTCAAGTTAGGAGCCTGGCTAATAACCACAAAAAGTGCACCTGCAGATAAGAAAAAATAGATCAGATTACTAAACTTTCTTTAGGGAGGACCCTTGTAGCTTCAAACACTCTAGAAACTCAAAACACACAAAGGAGATGGAAACAACCACCATAAAGTAATAGCGCCATCAGTCTCCAATTAATATTATACAGTTTTTATGAGCTAAGTGGGACTATAAATATTGAAGTTTTAGCAATATGGTTTTCACTATGCTTACAGAAAAGACACAGGATTGAGCACAAAAAATGAAAAAGGCCACACTTTGACTTCCATTACTCAAAAAAACTTACTTCATCTGTCTCAATTTATGTGGTACACTCAGCCTTTTAGTTTATCCAAGAAATTGACTCATATCTATATTTACAAATAATTTAACTTCTTAAATACCTTATCCATTGCCAGATAAATCTTTATGGCTTAATAAGACCACAAGTTTCAAAAACAATTCTGTTTCTTAAACTCCTCCATCCCCTGGTCAAACAAGGTCACATAAGTTTTATTTTTCTCTAGCTATGTGATAATTGGAGAAGAAAAACATAAGATTAGAGCACTTTCAGGCTCTGATAATTAATCCAATTTTACAAAAGAGAAAATAAACTATTCCAAACAAAGAAATAAAAAAAAGGAACTTTTTACTCACCTAGAGAGGTACTCAATCCACCCAACAATGAAAGACCAAGAGCAACAAGAACTTGAGAATCCATAGAAAACCCTTTGCTCTGAAACCCCTTTAGCCAAAAACAAAAATTCACAGAAAAAGAAGAAGAGTAAACCCAGAAAAAATCTGGAGGGATTTTCTCTGTAGTTGAAGCAAATGGGTGTTGGAGATTGATGTCAAGAATAAAAAATGTAGGCTCAAGGAAAGAAGAGCTCCCCTAAATATCAAATCTTGGAGAGCCCCAAAGACTCAATAGCCTTCAGGAATGGGGCAGATGAAAGAATGTGTAGAGTCAAAGAAAGAGACAATGGAAACAAAGGGATTCAAGATATTAGAAACTTCTTGCTTTAGGCCATGGAAAGTTCCTAACTTTTTTTTTTCGGGTAAAGGGTCAAATATACCCTGTACTGTACTATATGAAATAGTTTAAATATATTCTTAGTTATACTTTTGGGCTAAATATATTTCTCCTGTTATATTTTTGGGCTAAATATATTTCTCTTGTTATATTTTTGGGCTAAATATATCATTATGACTAACAGAAAACACATGAACGGTTAAGATTAAAAAAACTATTCAATTTAAAATATATTAAATTTGGATATAACCTGCCCCGCCCAAATAATTTAACCCGACCTAATTTATAACATTGATCCACCTGTATGTGTCAATGGAGGGAAGTGAACGATGAGCTTTTCTATAACATGGACCCACCAGCTGGCTGTACATGATGTTGGCACTGACTGGAGAGAAATTTGGAGATGAAATTTGTGGAGTGATTATTAATGTTCAAGTTAGACAAGAAAAAATAGCTCTATGGATCAAGAATGCTGCCAATGGAACAACTCAGGTGAGCATTGGTAAACAATGGAAGAGTTTCTGGATTACAATGACACAATTGACTTTATATTTCATGATGATGCAAAGAAGCTTGACAGAGTTGCCAAGAATGGTAGCCGAATTGATTAGGTTGAGTTAAATTATTCGGGGCGGGTTATATTCGAATTTGATTTATTTTAAATTAAATAATTCTTTTAATTTTAGCCGTCCACGTGTCCTCTGTTAGTGATAAGGGTATACTTAGTCTGAAAGTATAACGAAAAGGGTATATTTAGCCCAAAAGTATAACTAAGGGTATATTTAAACTATTTCATATAGTACAAGGGTATATTTGACCCTTTGCCCTTTTTTGTTTTTTCATACTCCAATTTGAGCTCGATTAAATCCAAACTCGCAAAATATTATATTACTAATCAGTATTTTCAAAAACATTTTCGGGGCGAGTTTCGAGGCGGGCGTACCATAAACGCTCCGGAGCATAAATTAATATTCAAATTTATTATTTCATAATATTTTATTTTGGATGTTTATATTTAGATAGATAATGTACCGTGTTAAAATCTTATTAGAAAAAAGCTTGTGAAAAATATTTCAATAAAAAAAACAAGTCATATATCTAGTAATATGCATTATTAATTGCTTCATTAAAAATCTTGCCAAAAAAATCTAACGAAAGAAAAGCTTGACTAAGGAAAAAATAGTACATGTACTACAACACACACCAGTCTAATTAAAATATCGATTAATTTTTGTAGATGATGTTGTCCAATTTTATGTACTAGTTTTTCAAATATTGTTATTAATGGTATTATTTTTGTAAGTATAACAAATATCTTTTGGATATGTCGAATTTTAAGCTCAGTCAAATACAGTCTTGTTTGTCATTTTGTTCGTCATCTCGTTGTCTCAGTCAAGGTTTTTGTATGACTTGTTCATAATAACAATTAAATAAAACGGACACTTTCATCGACATGATAGCAGAACTTGATTGTCTTGTAGAGTAACATACTATCACAGTATTTTCACATGCAAATAGATAATTTTTTAAAATCAAATTTATATAAAGTCAATAATATTTTTTGCACTATTGTAAATAATAAACTTTGATTAATATCAATATTTTATTCACTTTGATGTCCCATAGTTAATTAAATCTCCTCTTCTTTATCAAAATTTTTATTTTAGAAAGTGATCTATTATACTTTATGTGTGTCATGATTTTCTTCGTTGATTAAAAACTTCTTCTCTTCTTCTTCTTTTAAACAAAATGGCCAAAGAGGCTAAATTTTATTAATAAAAATAGTTCAAAACAAAACAAAACAAAAAAAAGGATAAAAGATTAGCCTTAAACAACTTTAAAAAAACAAACTCAAATACAAAATAACATAAACAAAAGCTAAAGATAAGTAACAAGTTACATCCACGTCTCTTAAGAAAGCTTATAGAACTTCTCCGACATGTGAAAGTGCTAAAGAGAGTTTTTAAGATCCTCTTCTTTGCAACATTGTCTTCTTTATTTTGTTATCTTTTTTATTCCGTGAGAATTTTTAATTTAGAACTATGCTTTGAATCAATTGCATCTCAAGTCGTTTTAATTTCTCACCAAACATTGTGAAATCAAAATCACTGAAGACTATTTACAAACGAAGAGTTATGGTCATCTCAAATACTTTATAATCATGTGTTAAAGTCTATTACTTGAGGCTTTTTTAGAAAGTTGTAAAAATTGACACTTCTATTGATCATCACAGTGAACCTTAAAAGAGGACAGTGTCATTTCCAATAAAATTTTGGTAAAAGGATTCTAAAAAAAAGAAAAGGCTTGTATAATCAAGATTATATTTCTGAATTTTTTTATATACTGTAAGTCTGAACTGTTAAAGTACTAAAATTACTATTTTTTTATTCTCTCCATCTCTTCCTTGATTCATGTTATCGTTGTGTGTCTGAAGAGTCTTTCATTGCGTCTAAGGCTGGACGTGGTACTTCTACGCAATAGCTCTGCATACCATTTTATACATTAGCTTCAATTGTAACTATTTTTAACCAAGCAGATAGATGTGTAAAGAGTCAAAAGAATTAGTGTTATTGTTTGTTGTACTCTAGACTTGAATAGACTTTGTAAATAAACCTAGTTTGTTTATTTGATCAGTTTTGTTGGCCTGTGGACTGAGGTGACCATGTCCATGAGTTGTACTGATTCATCAGCACTTTTCATTAGTTAAAACTTCCCAAGTTATATATACAAAGTTTAAGCTTGAGAAGATGAAAATTACTATATAGCAACATACCCTGGTAAATAGGCGACCAAGAGTAGTTCAAGTGTACTTAAAGCCTACTACAAGGCATGTCAATCTTGCCAACAGCAAACCTTTAGACTGAGCGCTTTAAGATTTGCAAACTATCAAACTTTACCATAATCTATTTGAGAGAGAGGAGAGAGAGAGAAAGAGAAAGAGAAGGTAACAACATTACAATTTACAGCAAATTTAGTGTCCCAACCAGTTTCCTTACTATATAAATCTAAGAGTTTTGCCTGAACCATCCGCTTTGAAGATGCAGATTTCCATAATGCTAAGGACATGCTAAATCCAGCTCATCCATCACCTGATACGGTCAAAAGAAGCTAAGTAGATACTTGTTGACAACAAAGATTAATGCACAACTTATGCTGCGAGATCCGAATGAAATTCTTAAGATCCTTGAGGAACTATTGCTATTTATACAAGTCCCTACCCTCCCAAGATTGTCAAAATGCAACCTCTTCACAAGTGCATTTTAAATAAGATTGCATGATTCCACGTACTGCCTGCCTGCACGCACACACAAAAAAAGAAATGAAAAAATAAGTAAATTTCCAATAAAAATAAAATAACAAAGACCTCAGCTGGTGTTCAAAATGGAAAAACAATGTAAGGGAAATGGGCGTGGTAGCTTAGTGCTAAGAACAATCCGAGTTGGAAAATGGAGAAAAGTGGAAATGGGTCACTGCTAAACTCCCAAGGTAAAGTCTGGGTCTTGAAGTTTACTATATCATGAAAAAGGAGGTAGAGCATTTTTGAGAGCGAAAGACAATCTTTAAAAAGAGAAGATTAGCAGCAGGAAGCCTAAAGAGCTCAGAGTAAGATCCCAACAATGTCAAGAAAACATTTCAAAGCACTATTTGTTGATGTTACTGAACTTGGTGAAAAATCACTTGCCATGAATATTTCCACATAAGATGCAAAGATTATAAACAGCCCAAGTATTAAGAAAAGACTAGCAAAGTAGAACCAATGAGGCAATATCAAAATCCTACACAGCTAAGGCAAATGAGCCAAGAAAGGAATGACAATTAGCAAACAGATGGCATGATTCTGCATAAGAGGTAATTCAGCCTATCAACTATTTCCATACAATATACCATAGAGAAAAGAAAGTTACAGTAAGGAATTGTAACATATGAGAATGGATATTAAAGTAAGAACCTTCTAGTAAATGGGTAATAAGATACCTATATGATTCAGCACTTAATAAACCCTTTTCATACATAATAAGTAATCCAAGCAGCTAGTAATCAATAACAGCAATAAAAGGAATATTTATCTACTCCAAATTGAATAACAATTTAAATAAACAAAAAACCGGGACACATGGTCAAAGTATCCAAGTTCTGAAACATCATTATAAAAAGTAAGAACAGCACATTACCTGAAATACAGGAGAAACACCAGATCAAGCATCAGTAATTGCAGTGGCCATAGTTTAATCATCACCAGCCCCTGTAGCAGACGATAGTTCTTGATCACCATACTCTATAGCAGTTGGCACATCTTCATCACCAGCTAGCTTTATACTGGAGATCTCTTCTTTGCCTGAAGCAGGAAGAAAATTTATTAATTTGGATTGGAAACATTGAAGGTGCTACTACCAGAATTTGGTGATAAACAGTTAAAAACTTCAGATATGAACACCCTATACCTGAAAATACTTCCTTGGTCAGAACTGTCTCAGAGTCCCTCTCAGCAACCAATTGTGATTCTGCCCCATTATAAGCAGGTCTTGCACCTGGACTACATTTATGCTCTTCATTCTCAGGGCTAGAAACATTTTTACTTGCAGCAGACTTCTCTTTTTCTTGTCCTTCAACTGCCAAGTCTCTGCCAGAAGAACCAGACAAATCTCTGAATGGAGTTTCAACTTCACGTGGAGCTACCTCCTTGTCAGTCAGTCCCAACTCCTCACATACTATGTGTGTTTTCACTTCAATTGTGGATTGACTGGTTTTAGGTTCTTTGAGTTCAGAATCAGAAATTCCATCTGTTACATCAGATTCTTTCTTCCCTTTTTCTTCAACAGCCACATCTATCAACGGAAAATTTTCAGACTTACCTACTGCAGCATTCTCAGCTGTAACATCCTTGTCAGTCATTCCCGACTCCTCACATATTGTATGTGTCTTCACTTCAATTGTGGTTTGACTGGTTTTAGGTTCTTTGAGTTCAGAATCAGAAATTTCATATGTTACATCAGATTCTTTCTTCCCTTTTTCTTCAACAGCAACATCTATCGATGGAAAATTTTCAGACTTCCCTACTGCAGCATTCTTGGCTATAACATCCCCTGTAGCAACCTCCACATGAATTTCTATGTTTTGTTTGGAAACCAAATGAGACTCCGCTGCTATTTCACAAGTTCCATCTGCAGCTTTCGGTTGAGATTCATTAAGTTCACTATTTAAAGTTGAAAAATCTTCAGTTGGATCAGATGTTTGGTTCTTTGGTCCTTGATGTGCAGGATCTCGAATACTCAAATTCTCAGAGACAGCTGGTTGGGGCTCAACAGCTGTAGCATCAGGTAAAGTAATCTTCTTGTTCATTGTCTCAGAGTCTTGTTCCGCAACCAACTGTAACTCTGACCCAATTTGATATGTTCCACCAGGTTGAGCTTCATTTAGCTCAGAATTTGATTCTGAAGCATCTCTAATGGCATCAAATGCTTTGTTACCTTGTACTTCAATTGCATGGTCTAGGACATGCAAATGCTCAGACCCTTCTATCAGAAGTTCAGCAGCTGTTACCTCCCCTGATGCTACTGACTTGTTATACATCCTTCCTATATTTTCTACAACAGCAGATTGTGATTCCACCTCATTTTTTGATGTTGAAGTATCTCCTGTGGCATCAGTTTCCTTACTCTCTTGTCCTTCAACAGTAAGATCTCGGATTTCCATATCCTCGGACTTTTCTGCCACCTGACCTGCATCTACTGAGCCATCGTTTATCTTCCCTGTGTTCTCTTCGGCAACTAACTCCAGATCTGCCACCTTTTTAGATGTTCCAGCAATTGTGCTGGATAGATGTTTATTTAATTCACCATTTAAAACATCAACCTTATCTTCAGCTCTTTTGCTCTCATGAGTCTCAACAGACAAACCATCGTGACACTGACCGTCAGCATTCTCTGTTTGCCGCAGTACAATATCATCAACTTCATCTGAAACAGACTCCTCACAAATGTTAGTTCTCATATCTTCCACCACAACCTGTTCTAATTCTGGGTGATTCTCAGATGACCCATCAGCTGGACAGAGTTGAGACACATCAACTTCAGAATTAGAAAGATCATCCTTTACATCAAAACTCAAGTTACCCTGTAATTCAGCTACGTAATTTGTGTCATGACGGCTGGCAAACGTTTCTGTTAGAGCCTCAACAGGTTCAGCATTTGAAGCAAGCTTAGGTGAAAGGGATTCCTTCTGGGCACCAGATTCTGTGCTGGGAGAAGTCTCTACAAAATCAACATGTGTCATGTCAGATTCACAAACCTCAGGTGTGACAGAATAGATTTGCTTCTGTTTTTCAAACTCTATCAGATTCATTATCTAAACTAGATAAAGAATAGTCCTTACCGGAAATACTGGGATGCAAGTTTGCTTCAGCAATTGCTTGTCGTTCAGGTTCACTTTGAGATGTTCCAACAGTGAAACTGGATTGGGACTCATTTCTAGGGCTTGGCGCAACCTCACTTACATCAGAATCTTTCATTTCGGGACTGTGTGCTGCAAGATCACTTCCACATTCTTCTGTTAGGGATTCAGCAACATTAACTTGCTCCTCAAAAGTTCTTTGAGATGTTCCAACAGTAAAACTGGATTGGGACTCATTTCTAGGGCTTGGTGCAACCTCACTTACATCAGAATCTTTCATTTCTGGACCATGTGCTGCAAGATCTTTTCCACATTCTTCTGTTAGGGATTCAGCAACATTAACTTGCTTCTCAAAAGTTTCTGGAATCCTATATTTTTCTTTCTCCCCCCTACTTAAACCTTTAGTTGTCTCCAATGACACGTTAACTGATAACTTATCTTGTTCACAAACCTCGGCCATTGCACCTTTATCGGAATGTGTTCCTTCTGCTGTTTTTTCAAGTTTGTCCTTGGCTGGTTCATAAGATCCACATACTGGAGGTTCATCCACTAAAGATTCTGCCTCAGTAGATGGAGAAGCAAATGATGCGATTCCCTTCATATTCAGATTGTCAGTCTCCACAGCAGGTGAAACAACAGTCTCCTCCATGGTGCCTCCGGTTTCCTGTTCTGTTCCAAGTATGCCACCAGCGAGATGCTCAGAGCTGGCTGCCTCAGCTTTAGAAACAAATGATTTATCCAGAGGAAGATCCTCAGTCTGTAACTGTTCAACATCAGTTTTTGCAGACACACTCTCAGACAGGCTTTGAGTTGATCCCGAACTAAAACTTACTTTCCCGGAGCCTACGGAACCCAGATATACCTCTGTCTCTGTGCTTGGATGGGGAACTAACTCAGAACTTGTGGGAAGGACCCCGCTTAAACTGCTGCTAGTTTTCCCTTCTGCATCTCCACTCTTGTTCAGATCGTCAGATGATGTAAGCTCCAAAGCTCCAATGGGAACTTCCATGTTTGACCCATCTATAGAATTAGTTTCAGTCTTTTCACCATCGTCACCCTTAGAATTACCTTCACTCTTTTCAACCAGGCAATCAGTAACTGGAGCCATTGATCCTGAAGAGGCAAGAGTGACATGGGATTGAGATGCATCTGTTTGTATAGCATCACACTGTGGCAGAACTTCATTACTCACTATATCTTCAGGCATCTTCCCAACAGAGTGAACTGAAGGTGTCTGAGATGCAGCTGACTGAACCTTCATTGTTTGTTGATCCTCAGTGAGAACTTCCTTTGTCGTGGCAACCTCACAACCTATATCTTCAGGCATTTTCCCAACAGAGTGAACTGAAGGTGTCTGAGATGCAGCTGACTGAACCTTCATTGTTTGTTGATCCTCAGTGAGAACTTCCTTTGTCGTGGCAACCTCACAACCTATATCTTCAGGCATTTTCCCAACAGAGTGAACTGAAGGTGTCTGAGATGCAGCTGACTGAACCTTCATTGTTTGTTGATCCTCAGTGAGAACTTCCTTTGTCGTGGCAACCTCACAACCTATATCTTCAGGCATTTTCCCAACAGAGTGAACTGAAGGTGTCTGAGATGCAGCTGACTGAACCTTCATTGTTTGTTGATCCTCAGTGAGAACTTCCTTTGTCGTGGCAACCTCACAACCTATATCTTCAGGCATTTTCCCAACAGAGTGAACTGAAGGTGTCTGAGATGCAGCTGACTGAACCTTCATTGTTTGTTGATCCTCAGTGAGAACTTCCTTTGTCGTGGCAACCTCACAACCTATATCTTCAGGCATTTTCCCAACAGAGTGAACTGAAGGTGTCTGAGATGCAGCTGACTTAACCTTCATTGTTTGTTGATCCTCACTAAGAACTTCCTTTGTCGTGGCAACTTCACAGCTAGCAACATCGCCACTGGCTTGTGATTCGTCGGATTTGATAGCATTGCTATGTAGCTCAACTTCACAACACGCCATAGCTTGAGGGATTTGTCCTGTGCCAGGATATGGAATCTTTTGAGAAGCATCTAAGTGGACAATAGCTGTTTGTTCCTGCACTTCCAGGAGAACCTCGTTAGTCATAGCAGTTTAATAGTTTATAATAGAAGTATCAACCTACCAGCAGATATACCAACCTGGGAAGGAGAATCATCAGAGTTGACCGTGTTAATCTGCGGCTCAACATGAGGACTAGAGCAACTTTGAGATGTAACAGATTGGACCACATTCTCCTTTTGCTGAGCATCATCGAGATCCTCTTCAGCAGTAGCAACGTCACCAATTAGATTATCACCCATTTGACTAGGAACCGGAATAGCATGGGATTGAGATGCATCTCTGTTGATTGCACTGTTATGTGGATTAACTTCACTAGAAACCATATTCTTAGGGATTTCCCCACCAGCAAAATCTGGAGTCTTTTGAGATGCAACAGATTGGTCTACTACTTGTTGAGATTCATTCTCACGCTTGCTTCTTGTAGTGGGCTTCCTCCCAACGGATAACCTGGTTCTCTTTTGTGGGGGTTCAATTAATCTTGGATCCTGAGCACTTAACCCTTCAGTAACAGCTGCAGTGACCAAATCCTGTCTCTTCCCCCTGCGCCGTGGTGCCTCACTTCCAGTTTGAGCCTTGCGTCCTCGTCCTCTACCTGGCTTAGGTGCAGTGGGAGGAGTACTATACTGTGAAACTGATGAAATCACAGGCAATGGTGGAACTGGATCAGAAGTATGAGCAGTTACTACACCAGATTCTTGTTGACAAGTGCTCTTCAAGTTAGAAGAATCACATACAGAATTATGACCTGAAATAGAAGAAGAGCAAGACAATGTCATCCTATCTGATCCATAATCAAATTTGCTTGCTGCATTAGATGCTAAAAGAAGAGGAGTAAGTGCAGATGTATTTGTACCTATGCTGGGAGAGGGTGCAACAGCAGGAAGAGGGCAAACTGAACTTAGTTCCACGCAAGCAGACGATGATGCAGGAACAACAGTAGGTACAACTGAATTGGAGTCCTTTGAAGTTAATGACTGAAGAGGAACAGGTGACACAGAACTCGTTTCCTTGCCAGCTGAAGGTGAACTATGAGGAACTACTGAAATTGAATTCACCTGCAGAGTAGCTTCGGTCTGGGCAGCAGAGAGGGAAAGATGGTCTGAATGGTTTCTGGAGGATGATTGAAGGACACCTGGAGGTGAAATTGAACTAGGGTCCTGACTGGCAGCAGATGATGGAATAACAGAAACAGTCGAAACAGGGGTTAATTCTTTGCTAGAGGAAGATGCTGCAAGAGGCACAACCGAATTCAGTTCCTTACTAGCATCTCTCATGGAAACAGGAGCATGACCAAGGTTTTTTGAACCCAAACCTGCCACCACCTGTGGCACCAGATCAGGCTCACCCACTGCAGGAGGTGTTGGGGGCATATGGTGAGTAGAACTCATATCATTCACACCTTGCACTGCAGAGACAGGCTCACTTACTGCTTGAGTTGGAGGGGTGGGGAAAGCCTCTGCTGTAACATTCTGTTGTTTTCCTCTACGCCCTGGAGCTTCTCCTCCAGTTTGAGGCTTTCGACCTCGACCTCGGCCTCGGCCTCTACCTCGGCCCCTTCCCTGTCCACTTGTAGGAGGGCAAGGAGGACCAGACTGAGAAACAACAGCAACAGAAGGTACACTTGACTGATGGCTGGGAGCAACACCAGTTACATTCTGTAGGATGGTTGCGCTGGTACTTTCTACGGAAGAAGCACAAGGAAAAGACACAGAAACAGGCCCAGAAGTTGCCTGACTAGTAGAAGTATTTTCTGCAATGGTATTGCTATCCACCTTTACACTAGCTGCAATTGCTGAAATAACGACAGGGGACGGTGAAATTTCAGTCACTATTGCTGTCCTCCTTGGTCTTCCCCGGCCCCGTTTAGATGACGGAGTCACAGTCACAGGGCTTTGTTGAACTATGGGTCCAACATGTTGTTGGGGAAGTTCTTGCACAGGCTGTTGAGAAAGTTCTTGCACAGGCTGCTGGAGAGGAGGCTGATACGGTGCTGGGGTTTGTATTTCACTATTGGCAACTACAGGGTCAGGACAAGTGCCAGAGGCTGAAGGGGAATTCTTTTCTTGAATTTCTTCCTTTAGACTAGGTGATTGGGGAGACTCAGCAAGGCACATTTTCTCAAATTCCTCTTCCGTCCATTGCTCTTCATACGAACGAACCTAAGGAAGCACAAGAATTAAAATGAACAAACTAGTGAATAACAAATTATTTTATTATAAGAACTGAAAAAAGATATGGCTGCAAGTTCTGCAGTCTCCAAAAGTATAACCAACCTCTCTTGCTCTTTTTCCACGTCCATAATGTTGGATATCAAGACCCCCAAGACTCTGACCCTTCCTTTTTAACCCAGGGCTAGGAGCCACAACTGGCTTATCAGATATTTTCATTGCTTCATAGAATGGTTTCAAGTCATCATCAGTAAGAAGTCGAGAGGGCAAAGGAGGAATGAGTTCTGAACTTTGTGTTCCACTTTCTAAGCATAACTTCTTCCAGATTTCCTGCATTTTTATGCTTGAATTAGAAAAATAATGATGAACTAATTGGGTGGTAACTGTTCAGCTAGATTAGCAGGATTTCGTTCAGAAAATGAGAGAATTAAATAGCCTGGGATAAAGTATTGACATGATTACCATCTCTTCTTCACGCCTTCTCCTGTCAACTGATTCAAATATATCAATCTCTGGCTCACTGCACGTAGGGAGTTAGAGATATGAGAGTTATGCAATTGATAGCGAATCACCAAATAGTTCTTGTAAATTCATGTTAAATACATTAGAAACACAGCATCGGTGCTATAGAATAAAAATGAATTGATGACTAGCCAGGCCCTCAACAACAAAAGAAAAAGAAAAAATAGAGGGGAGGCGAGAGGGAGGGGGACCAAATGCTAGTCAGCACTGAGCTTCAAATGCTGTTATTTCTGATTAATGAAATATTGGTACAAGAAGTGATGTGGCTTTGACATGCAGTTTCAGTACTATGCTACCTCGAGCTATGTTGCTCGGACTCTCCAAAAATGTTGCCGGACCCGTGTTGGATCCTCCGAAAATGCGCTACTTTGAAAGGATCCAACATGCATCAGTCAGCGCTTGAAGAGTCCGAGGAACATATGCCTGGAGTGAACTAGATAAAACCATCACACGGCGTGCTTTGTTATTCTGATGTAAGAAATGTCATATTGCACAAGTCATTGGAAATAATTTTAAGATAATCAATGAATTTACAGCAGAATAAGAGCACCTTTGCCGCTTCTATTTTACCTTCGTGCTATAAGATCATTCAAAGAATCATCATCAAGAACAGGTGCATCTTCCTCTTTTTTGCTTTCTCGCAAGAGGGACTCCAAGTACTCCCTTCGGTCTTCCGCACTACATCCAAGTTAAAATACGTTTATAAGCACAATACATTCACCAAAGTAGTCAAAGATTGAGCAGAATTTCCAAATCTTCCTTCAAAAAACCTTGTGTTATTATCAAAGAATCCAGCAGTAATGCTTTGGTTAGCAACTCCAAGTTTATGCTCAGCAGCAGCTCTTACTTGTTCCTCAACAGTTTGGACCTAATTTTAACAAGGTAGTAGAAATGCATAAATTAGACATACCATAGGTGCAAATTGCAATGAATATTTGGATCAAGAAACTAACGACAGTATTTGAAACATAAATGTGGCAACAATTAATGCAATGAGAAGCTTCATAAAGAAACTCTCGATGATCATTCAATGTCCAAGATAATCAGAACATATAGTTCTGAAGAAACCAAAAAAACCATCAGCTCTGATCTTTCAGGAATTCAGTGACAGTATTTGATACATAAATTGTTGCAACAATTTTTTATGTTATTATTATAAATTGTACCAACAATTAATACGACATGAAGCATCATTGAGAAACTCTTGACGATCATTAAATGTTCAAGATCATCAGAACATATAGTTCTGAAGAAACCAAAAACCCATCAACTTTGCTCTATCAGGAAACCAAAAAGAATGCTGCAATTAATGAAGTAAAGTTCACCAGAATTTTTCATTGCTTTCATAAGAAGAATATTCACTTAACTAAATAATGATTGTCTAAAGACTACACACTCAATTGTTTTTGAAATGGTGATTGCACACTTAATTGTTTTACCTGATCGCAGAAAGAAGGCAAAAAAGAAAAACGAAGTAACTGTATATTTGGCAACTTAGAGAACATGCTTTTCCATATTTTATTGTCTTTTCCTTCTCTGCAGCAGGCTAATGCGGATCCCATGGACATTTATCAAAATTCCGGTAAAGCTTTTCAAGCTACACATTGGGTTTTAAAAGCTAAGACTGGGTTCTCCTCATTGCCAAAAAGACTGTTGCCTCTCGTTTTTTTTTTTTGGTTTGAACAGGTAAGTGTTACATGTAAAAGAACCAGCACTAAGAGAGTGCTGTCATTACATCCAAAAAGGAAGAAAGGTAAAAAGAAAAGGGATGCCCTGAATGTCTATACAAAAGCTTCTAAAAGCTGCAAAAGGGATTCACCATCACTAGCCAACTCCAATTTACATAAAAAAGACAACATCCATGATGCAATCAGACTCAACTTCTAAACAGAACTTTCTTGTCCTCAACATATATTTCTCTTTCCAGATACACCACCATATGCAGGCAGGTACGGTGTCCCCCCAGAAAAAAAGGACAGTTTCCTCTTAACCCAGAGTAGAAATGAAAGGAAGTACTACAGTATAATACAATAACGGATTAACGGAACTAAAAGAAGACTGGTTTCATCTACAAACATGCAAGAAACAAAAAAACAAAAGGTATTTTACTAAAATTATGCCAAGTTTCTACATCTATCCTTGAACCATAATAATCACTAGATTGACTACAAAATCTTATCCCGCTAGGCACAAGAGGGAGCATTGTTTCAGTCACTAGAGTCTAGACTGGAGAATGAAGATTTCATGGGACACCGGACATGCATGTGTTAGTATCTAGAAATGACAGGAATAACGAGCTAAAGATACATCTTGAGAAATAGTGAGCTAACAATGCTAATTACAGTAAATAAATCAGAATGACCCATCTGATCCACATAACAGGAGGCCACAGTCATAACAAAGCAGATTTAATAGTAATTTTACAGCATGAACAACCAGCAGTGTGCACAAATGAAAGCATGAAACTGCAAATGCATGAACAGACAAGAAGTCAAAAGGCATTTACTGTTTCTAATCGAAGAACAAGAACATCCTTCTTTTGACCTATCCTATGAGCCCTTGCTTGTGCTTGAAGATCAACCTAAATGCAGCAAACCAAGAGAGCAATAAGTGAAAGCCACATAATCAAAATATAAAAGATCCTCAAAAGAGTAAGTTTGAGCTTTTGCCTGAGGATTCCAATCTGTGTCAAAAATTATAACTGTATCAGCAGCTTGAAGATTTACTCCAACACCTCCAGCACGAATACTGGCACCATTTTAGAATGGATCAGTCTTAAGAGAAAATGTTTACATGAATGAAGAATGCAGAGAGAAAAGAACAAGAATGTCAAAACATGTCCTACAAACAACCCACTCGTTCTTTATTTCCAAGAAAAGATTAAACCCTACTCTCATTATCCCAGTATACGCAATGTTCCAGCTTGGAACATCGTCTATGACACTGTATTCTATACTTTTTGTTTTGACAAGGTAACAGATTGTAAATAAATCATCAATGCGAAGTGTTGGAAGCCAAAATTACATCATTGAATCTACATCGAAAAGAGTAAAACAATAACTAACACTAAATCCTATCTCATCTTACAAGGATCCTAGGATGTCTACTATAGAAACTGGGTCATCTATATACTCTTGAGCTGCACCAAACCAATAACAAAAACTTATAATGCAAATTCATTTTTAAGTTTTGCAGAGAGCTACTATTGCCTTCAAAACACCTAGAGTTTCTCTCTTTCCAAATGTTCCATCATAATGCTGGGAAAATTCTCCATCTGTTTATGTTAGTGCTACCACCACCCTCAAAATTCCAGCTAGTTAGTGCCTCCCCTGTTCTTCCCGGCATAGTCTACCTTATGCCTCTGAAGCTGGTAAATAGATTCCAAAGCTGGCTAACCACTTTACAATCAGGAAACAAATGGTTAATTGTCTCTGCATTATGCTCACAATAATAACATCTGGAGCTCATATGCTTTCCCTCTTCTGTAGATTCTCCTGATTTAAAACAGCTTCTTCCAAGACCAACCAAGTGAAAATAGTGTATGGAATTTTTACTTTCCACATAAACTTCCAAGGTAAAAATCTGATCTGAGAACCCATCTGATTCATGTCCTTATAGGTAGAGCTTACAGTAAAAATGCACCTTAAGAGTGCCTTCTCCTTCCTGTAGCCCCTTGCACTGGTCTAGAGTGCCATAAAAGTTGGCCAATCTTTCCATCTCCCAGTCTTGCATCAATTTTCTATAGGTCAAGTTCCAACCTTGATTTGGCCCTAAGTTGCTCAGACTCTTCACTTTTGGTGCCACACCCATGTCGACACGACATGGGTGTGGGTGTGGGATCCGTGTCCGATTTGGTCAACGGATTTTAGGTACTTTAACCAAAATCGATGGGGAAAGTCTAGACAATTTTAATGATTCCTATAATCAATACTAAAGTTAAGGTGAAATTGAAGAAAATTGCATACCTTTTATATTTTATATAGAAATTTCTATGTCACTCCTTTTCCTTTAATCTCTTTCCAGGATTCTCCTCGAGTTCTCCACATAATATCTCATAATTTAGGTTTTATAACTCTTTTTTAGATATTTTAATTATTTTAAGGTGAATCCCCGCACCCGTATCCATACATGGATCTATATCCCCGAATCTTAAAAATTAGATCATGAAGGATCCGCACACGTATCGAACACCCGCACCCAAGTCCGAGCAACTTAGAATTTTGGCCACACTTACTGTAAAGTGGAATCCTGTTGCTGATTTAAAATATAAATTTCATGGAATAGTTGCTTAAGACTTCCATTCCCTGTCCAGTTATCTTCCCAGAACAAGATCCTCTAACCATCTGTCACATTAAAACTAGTTCTTGCAAAGAATACATGTCACAGGTTCCTGATTGATCTCCACAAACTTGTTCCATATGTAGTGTTTACTTCTTTTGTCCTCCAAAACCTTCCTTTTCATACGTAACTTGTATCACAGTGCCCCATAAAGAGTACTCTTCCTTAGGTAGTCTCCTTAGCCATTCTTCATCAGGAAACTTCTGTTCTGCTTTCTCAGATTTCTGATTCCCAGCCCTCCATCATTCCTAGCCAGAATTAAGGTGTTCCATTTGACTAAATGATAGCCTTTTTCCTCCTTTCCTTGCTTCAGAAAATTCCTCTTAACAGCATCGACTCTTCCCTCTACATTAGCGGGAAGAGTAAATAATGACATCAAATAAGTAGGTTAGGCATCTAATACAGAGTTGATCAGGACCAATCTACCACCCCGAGACAAGTATTGTGGTTTCCATCAAGTCAATCTTTTTTCACATCTTTCCATGATATCACTCTTTCGCATCTATCAGATCCACAAAATAATTAATACTTGGAAGATAATGTGATGCAAACCTCATCACACTAACTTCTCATTCGCTATAATATTTTCTCTGATTCTACCGAAACAATAAGCAAATCAAATTAACTTATCAAACCCCATTGTAATCAAACTAAATCACAAGTAAAGGGACAACATAGTAATATTCAGTTAGATTTAGAAATGGAGTTCGGCACTAGAAACTATACATTTTGAATACTCAGTTAATATTCATTGTGATATAATAGGACTTTAACCTATTGTCTGCAAATGTTGGAATCAACAGCAGTGGAGTATACTTTATTAGTTTATTTTGGTGGTTAATGAAGTTTCTTTTTCTTTTGGTATCAAAACTCACAGAAAATTAAAATTAAGTTTTCGGCAAATTTTCAATTTTGCAAATCTTCATTGTGATCATGGTAAGGACAAAATGAATGATTATTGAGAAGACTACATCCTTTAAACCCAACAAACTTTGAATCTAAGGCAATTCTAAGTTAGTCATTTACCTCAACAGAAATATAAAGAAGGGAGAATTAGGCTGATTGAATTTATCAATAAGGGCACCTCTGTCACCCCCACACGTATGTCCATCCAAGCGAAGGTACTTATATTGCTTCCAGCAGAGATAATCTTCCATTACATCAAGCAGCCTGGTCATTGTTGAGAAAAGCAAGACCTGCAAAATGACCAAAAAAGAACATGATCAAGAAGGAATATATCTCGCGTCTTTATTCTCTTTGACGCCTCATCTCTCAAAAGGATTTTGATCAACAAAATAGCAAGCATCAGAATCCTCTCAAATGACAATTGAAGTCAAGGTGCCAGGTAAATACTTTATAAATGGCAAAAACAAGATCAACCGCTACAGAACAAGGAGAAAGAAAGGATTATAAGGCCAAGTAAAACCAGCTATTAAGAAGGCTTAACAGTACATGAATATGCACAACCTCAAAGAGTGATCTAGAAATAATAAAGATTTTCTTCAAAAAACAATTTTGAAATGCAAACGCGCTATTTTGTACCCGGTGATCTGTTGCCTTAAGTTTAGGCAGTAATCTGTCCAACATCTCAAGCTTCCCACAAAGTCTCACAAAGGTTGGCAGATAATGCTTAGGAACTAGCTCATGAACCTGACATATAAAACATAATAATTAGACAACCAAAAGGCGACAACTTGCCACCTTCAGCAATTCTGAAGATAAAAGACGAGTACAAAATCATGTTCTCTTAAGAAGCAACACATGCATGAAATTGTCCAGTTATACCTTCTCTTCACATCAATTTTAAAATCATAAAGATATACGAATAGAAGAGGGAGAAGCTAACCTCCTCCACATGAAGCTGACTAAGATACGGATGATTGCAAATGTTGCGCAGCTCCATAACAGAATTGTGGACTGACCGAGCCTAGAAGGAAGAGTGTGAAGGGTAAGAGCTAAGAACATAATACCTGAGTAAGCATCTTTTCTTTTCTTTTATGATAAATGAAAAGAATCTGTTTCATAATATGCACCAATGACCCTGAATAAGCATATATGTTCGTTTCTAACTGCAGGACTACTAGTGGACATTGAACCTCATATAACTAAGGAAATTAATAACATAAAAGAAACATAATTACCGAATAAATGGTCCGAATCCTTTTGGACACTCACATAAACATATACAAGCACAATTCTTTTTTATATACATATATGAGCTGCAATAGATGTTATGCTTAATTTTTCTCAAAAAAGAATTAAATGATATTTCCAAGCATGAATCATTGAACTCAAATAACAGCAGAGAGGCTAAACCTTTGAAGTTCCGAATGCACCAAGGTTGTATTCCACTCGCTTCATCAAAAGCTTCTGATACGAAGAAGCTTCACATCTAACCAGTCTTTCAATCTTTGAAGGCAATTCATTCTCAACCTAAGATAAGCATTTGAAAAGACAGAGGCATAAGCTCTCAACACTGTCAATAATTGAATGCTAGAAGAATCTTAGGAAGAAACTTTTGATCAGACGACGAATCTAGACAAGTTAGATAGCATATGGCAGCATATACTGTATGAAGTTATTGTTTGTTTCCTGGCACTATCAAAAATCTGAGAGACTGGAATAACCAACAAACTATCCATCCTCTTAGCGACATAAGTAACAAACTCTGAGCAAATATATCTAAATTTTCACCATGTGTTCTATAAGACTCATCACCAGTTATGGTTATGAAATAAGAGGAAGAAAATGATTCATTTCAAATATACAAGATAATAAATAAGAAGTCGTCACAAGTGTGAAAAATAGTGGGAGGATGTACAGGGTTCCCCATGACTGTGGGTTCACACAGGATCTTCCCTGAGCCCGTAATATTCACCAAGTTATGGATGAGTTAACTAAATAGTATGCAAAATGAGGTTCTATAGAGCATGTTATTTGGAGATGAAATTGTGTTAATGAATGAATTAGTGAGAGAGCCATCAATAGCTTGAGCCAAGGAAAATATTGTGGGGAGTAAGAATTTTAGACAAGTAAAATCAGAACAGAATATATGCACTATAAGTTTAGCCATTACAAAGGGGGTAAAACTTTGGTATTTTTTGCTTCTGTAAATAATGTTCAGCTGTTACAGCACATCTTTTGAGCTTGTTTCTATATAACATTATCTTACCTTTTTCAAAGAAGAAAATTATTCATTACAAGAGGAATAAAATTTAAAAGAAAGACTACTGAATGATAGTGTCTAAATGCAGAAAATTTTAAGTATCTAGCTTTAGTGTCACCAAGAGAATGCTATTAGTCGTGTTTCATCCTGGTTGTGGTGTAATTTTATCTTGTTGAATAACTTCGAACTAGCAACTAACAAGGATGAAACCAGAAATATTAGCTGTGAATTGGATTTTCATTTTTAACTTTTGAAATTATGTTACTAGTCTATGTTGTATGGTGCCCAGCCAAGAACTATCGGAGATGAAAGTTGTGGAAATGAGAACTCCACCATGGATGCTTGGGCATACTAGGAGATATAGGATTAGAAATGAAGATCTTCGTGGCAGGTGGGAGTGGCCTAGGTAGAAGACAAGATGTGAGGAAGCGAGGCTTTAGTGTCACCTAGCTGAGATGGTCCAGGCACGTGAAAAGGGGAGGCATGGATGCGGAGGTGCGAGAGGTTAGTAATGGATGGTGTCAGGAGAGGTAGAGGTAAGCCTAAGAAGTATTGGGGAGAGGTGATTCGATTGGACATGTCACGTTTTCAGGTTACCAAACACATGACCATATAAATAGGAGATTGTGGAAGACAAGGATTAGAGTTGAAGGTTAGTAGGTAGTTGAGAGTTGTTTCACTACCCCTTCTCACGAGTTGTCATAGTATTGCTGTTGTAGTTCAATATTTGTTACTATATGTTGTTTCTTCTACTTCGATAATCGTATTATTTTGTTGTAGTTACTACTCCCTTGAATATTTTGTCATGCTTTCTACAATTTTTTTGTCACGGCATCTTCACTTCCATTATTTCCTTTTCCAAACTGCTTTCATTTGCTTTTCATTGAGTCAAGGGTCTACTGGAAACAACCTCTCTTCCTCCCAAGGTCTGTGTACACTCTACCCTTCTCAGACCCCACTTGTAGGACTACACTAGGTATATTGTTGTTGTTGTTGTATTGGTGGGGCATCAATAAAAGCTTATGATTAAGAAAAAAAAGCACAATAAGCATCGTTCAATGATAGAATTTGATACATATAGCATGAGGTTTGACAACCAATTGAATACGGGAAGTGCATACTACGGATGAAAAGATATACCTTGTGTTTCAATCTCCTAAGAACAAATGGACGCAAAACTTGGTGCAGACGGTTAATGATCAAAAGATTTTCCTCCTCTGAGAGCAAAGCCTAACAGCAGGAAAAGCAGATTAATCAGATCAACAAAGTACTAGAAATAACTCAAGCAACAATGAAGTTGTACTTCAGAGTGGAAATTGTAAGAAGCATACTTCATCAGGTGAGCTGTCACCGCTCTCAAATGGCTTGTTAAACCATTGTGAGAAGTCTTCTGATGAATTGAAGATATTTGGCAAAAGGAAGTTAAGTAGTGCCCAGAGCTCCTCAAGATTGTTCTACATAAACAGAATGATGTATACATTCAGATCACATCAGCACCAGAAGAAACAAAACAATAAGTAGTACATCATGCTTATATGTCATGTAAGAATATGAAAGAAATTAAAAATCCCATAGACAATATAAACCTGAAGAGGAGTGCCCGTCAACAGTAACCTATGATTACTGCGGTAGTGCTTCAGATCAGCATTCAACTTGCAAGAAGCATTTTTTATGCGATGCCCTTCATCAATTATGATATAGTGCCAATGCACTTTACTTAGTTTTGGTCTATCATGTTTGTTCATTAAATACTCATATGTCGTCAAAAGAACATTGAACTTTTGATGAACAATTCTTTCCCTGCAATGACAAGTTACCCAATAATTACAGCATGAATGCAATGGAAGTAACAAAACAATAATAGAATTTCTAGACAACAGTATGAAATAATTGATATGGCGTACTTGAAAAGCTTCCTCCGCTCTTCTGGTGGTCCAGAATAAACTATCTTGAGCATATCTGGTGCCCAAAAGTTTATCTCCGACTCCCATCCGGGTAGGACAGAGGATGGCACTACCACCAGAAAAGGTCCTCTGTCATTTTTGGTTTCCATCAGGTAACACATAAGGGATATAACCTACAAAGTTGTCTTCGTGAGATCCTCCAAATATTCACGAGTAAATAACTTTGAAATTAAAGTTAACTCTAAAGGAGAAATAGAGAAACTTTCTAAACTAGGGATCAAGAAAAAATAACCATTAAAGCAATTACATATTAATGTACCTGAACAGTTTTACCAAGGCCCATTTCATCAGCTAAAATTCCATTCAAATGGTTATTGTAGAGTGAAACCAACCATCGCAATCCATTCATTTGGTACCTGAAAGAAGAATCAAGATTAAACGTACTCTAGGAGCAGAAATAGGAAATATCTCCTGAGTAGAAAATTAATTAATAAAAATGCACTCACAAAGATAGATAGGCAATGACAACAAATTCTGAAATGAAAAACTTACCCCCGTAATTTTCCACCTTTGAGAGAACTAGGCTGCTCTGCGATGGTCTCCTTTACACTGCAGAAAATACATTTAGTTATTTAGTGTCTCAGCCAGAGAGATTGAATACTGACACTGAACAGATGACAAAGTTGAATCAGCCATATCAAACAGCTATTAATAGAACCCAAGAATGGGAAGGATACTAAGCCTCAAAAAGAATGTAGATTCAAATAAAAGATTGAAGGATCTATAGCATCAAGTCCTCCAAGACCATGTAAGAGACTATATGCAGGAATTACCTATGTGCCATCAAATAGTATTTTTCATTGCTTTCCAAGTAATGCTGCATACAAAATAAAACGTATAAGAAATCAGGAAATGACACAGATGAGCATAGAACAGCAGCATGCCGATTAGCAATATGTGCATTTAACCATATAAGACAATTTCTGAAAGAACCTTAGCCTGGTCTGTTTCATCCGCATCACCAAAGTCAATTTCATCCTCCTCAACCACACCTGAGTTTCTATTATCACCCATGTCGGTCTCGAATTTTCTTGCAATTGATTTGGCCTCCTTTAATTTGGATCCAAGCTTTTGGAGGTACTTTTCCGTCTCTTTTAGTAGTTTGTTAACACGATCCGACTTTGCATCCTAGAAGCAGAATGAAAGTAATCATCAAGATAAGTGGAACAAAGTACAGTCCTGGCAGAGAAATTAGACAGGCCATACCTGAACCATTCGAAGGTATCCCTCAACATCATTGATTTTCAGTAAATTAATCTTCTCACGTTGGATCCTGTCAATCTTCTCACGATGTATCCGTTCCTTCCTTTTATGGAACTCCTTCGCACCCTTATTGAAACCTTTCCAGCGTTCTCTCTTCATTTTGAATACATCTTCCAATCTTTCCCTGGAGTTCAGAATAATTCAAAGAAAACAAAAATAAGTAAATCAGAAAAGAAGTCATTAATCTTTCACTGTTAAAGGAGCAAAGTCATATGATTAACCCTAAGGATGAAAGTAAGTGCATACCTATGAACTTCAATCTCACTGAAAAACTCCTTCTGTCTCTCACGAAATCTCTTTTGACGTTCCTCCTTCATTCTTTGTTCATATCTTTCAAATTGCTTTGATTTCCTTCCAATTCTGTGCTTCTTGATTGATTTTAAACGCTCCATGTCAGTTGCTACTGGCTTGAAAAAATCATAGAGAATTTCACTGCCAAAAGATTGTCACAAGGTCACAAGAATTGGACAGATAATGTGAAACAATAAAGGGTGATGTGACTTGAAAGAACCTAAACAGTTGCAAGCGATATTAATAAACTTGGCTACCAGAGGTAAGAACAGGAGTGCGAGACCACCAGTTTTAAGAAATACATGCTTCCCAGAGAACTACCAAAGTCTATCTGTAGTTATAAGAATATGTTCATATACTGCAATTATGACATGCATTTTAACACCAGCTTAAGAAGAAGCACCAACGCTCCAGAGAACCACCGGAGACTGTATAATACAAGAACATGTTCACATACTATGACAATGTATACACCTACTGGTTTATTTGTCAAGAGTGTTTTTTCTTCCGAAAATATGATTTTTAAGAAGTATAGTTTGATTACTATTCTCCCCGGCACAATTATCGAGGAAAAGTCTCAGCCCTGTTGGTCTTTCTCTCTCTCTCTCTCTCTCCCCCTCCCTTTCCGGTAATCCTTCTGATCGCTGGAATTTTTCTCCTCTTTCTTTCTTTCTTCTTTTGACAGAGTAAAGATGGACAACAGCATTTATTTTGTGGTAGGCTTCAAGGCCTATGACATCACGAGAACAGCTGGAACGGTGAGGGAATGGTAAAACTGAGCAGAAAGAAACAGAAATTCTACGAGAACAATGTTTAATGTGGAGCCTCTGGGATGGATTACTCAGGTCTTCCAAGAAGCATCCCGGACAAATGGGAATATGGTGAAGCGGTGGAAGAAAAAAGATGTCTTCTCAGAAGTGTTCTACTCTAGGAACTATAACAAAATGTGAGAGGCGAAGGAGGGCAGTTATTATCATCCCTGAATTGACGTTTAATTTAGGATGGATAAATATTGCGGAAAAAGTGGGGAGATTTATCAATAGCCACAGGAATGTGGTTAACTTTGGGAAACACAAGTTGATGGACAGAAACATTCCTTATGCTGAGATGCTTAAGAGTACTAAATGGGCTAATAAAGGGTGTAAAGAATCAGAGGCAGAGAAGATAATAAAGCAGGGGGATAGAATATGCATTAATGACAGCCCAGAGGAGTGCAGTGAAGTTTCAAAGAGCTTTTGAGGCTAAAATCGGTGAGACACCAACTTTATCAGAAATCAGGGGATGGGCTAATAAATTGTGGAAGCAAGCACATGAATTGAACATCTATGAGATGGCCTACTTCCTATTTGAGTTTGATCCCAGGTCCACGGGAAAGCAAGTAGCCAAAGGAGATTGGGACTGGAAGAACTCTCCAGTAACTCTTTAATGGTGGAATCTGACGAGAGGTACAGCTAGTGGGAGGAGAAAACCTAGCTCTACTTGGGTTAGAATTGTTGGTCTACCACTACAATTTTGGGACCAGAAAGTCTTCAAGGCCATTGGAGACCATTGTGGTGGCTGGGTAGACACAGAAGAGGAGACACAAGTAAGAAATCATCTCAAATAGGCAAGTAGTCAAGGGCTGGTCAAGGTGTTGGCAGGAGAAGATTTTATCCAGCAGTCGCGAGATAAAACTGCTGGATAAAGAGGAGGAGCCTCTTTTAAGCAGACCAGCAGCAGACAGCGCAGCTGTCACAACACGTGTTGATGCAGAGGGCACATGGGGAGGCCAGCAGATCTTTAAATGAAAAGCTGGCCATAGCTCTCTCAATATTGAACAAAACCCAACTTCCAATTTGGGCCAAAAATATATTAGCACTGCTGATCATGTCAAGAAAAAGAAAATTATGGCACGTATGGGGCAGGGGGGGAAGGCTTTTAGAAGGGCTAAGTGGTTTAAAGGAGTTGGCAACTCAGTTCTTAGCAGCTGGGAATCATCGCCCATGGAGGAAAACATCGAACCTTCTGTTTCTCTCAAGGCAAAAATTCCAACAACCAACAAAGGGATTCATAACCAATTATCACAGAAGACAGTAAGGGTGGCCAAACAAAAGAAATTGGGGAGGGATCAGGGATACAAAAGACTCCAAATGTAGACATGTGGCTACAACAAACTCACGATGTTGACATTAGCCACTCAAAATCCAGGGAACCAACTGATAGCAAGATTGAAGCATCCAGCTGGGTTAATTCTCATATTTTGGAGTTGACCATGACATACAGAGTAGCTTTTGTCTTTTGAAGGTTTCAGGGGAACACATGCATTATTGATGAGACTTGGTGAAAGGAAAGCTGTGATGGAGAGAAAAGGGGCAGATTGCTCATAGCACAGTGTCAACACCTAGACACAGAGGTATTGGCAAAGAATGAATTGAAGAACTTACAGTCCAGCCTGAATGAGGAAATGGAAGGAGTGAGGAACAGAGAGAGAGCTCTTACTCTGACACTCAAATGAAAGTAAAAATATTGTCTAGTAATGTTGAATCTTGTTAAGAGATCTTGATTGAAATGGAGGGCTGATGTTTATTGCTTGCAAGAGACAAAAGTGAGTAAGGACGTGGAGGGTGTTGCCAAACAACTTTGGTCCTGTAGATGGATGAGGTGTGGGTATATTGAAGTTGATGGTAGTAGACATGCGTAAGACTGACAAAAACATGCCCCACAACTGAGTAGTAACTCTACAATGCAAAAGAAGTAGCCAACATCCTCAGAGTGCTCTTCACACATGGGGAACCTACTACAAAGCTGAATTTTCCTCTTTCGAAGGTTGGAATGAGTGAGGCAAACCTCTCTAGCCACAATCTAAGAGAAGCAAGAGACCTTCAAAGGTGCCTAGCTGAGCCAAAAAAAAAATTCCAAGGCCAAAAAACCCTGTTGTTACTTAAATCCAGCTCTGTGTAGCAGCTTCTGACCATAAAGAGACCTTCGGAATGGTCCTTCCATCTAATAGAATCAGCTTTGTTGCAGCCCAACACTCTGTTGCTTAGCAGCTGAAGCAAGAGACATACTAGTTCTAGTTCCCAATCATTTACATTCCTTCTAAGAAAGAGAGTCCACCCTTATTGTTGAATAAAATTTTGCAATTACTACATTGTGTTGAGAGTTGGTATTCTAAAAATATCTGAGATCTACTCTTTAAGAGTATTGTGGCCCAACCATGCATCTTCCTAATAGTAGTACTTTTTTATAATTTCATTTGATCCTTGATTAAAATGATTAATAGATCAAACTTCTTAGATTAACTAGCTTAATTACCTTTAATCAATTAGACTTGTTTCCCATGAAAAAGAACTGGGTTTCAAGAAACAATTCCTTTTACTAATATGATTTGCTTGTTTGGGTTGGGTTACATTTTGACCCTCGGGTTGCAGTACTTTGACTCATTTTGACCCAATTGTTTGATGGGTCATTTCTAACTCAACCCGTTGGGTCAACTTAAACAAATGGGTAATGACCCAACCCGTATACGAAGTGAGCGGGTTGGGGATGATTAGCCACCCCTAAATCTAGATATGCATAAAAAGTAAGTAAGCCAAGACTGATTACCTCCGTAAACGACGCTGCAGCTCCAGCAATTGAAGCTTTTTCAGCTCAATGACACTTTTTGTTTTTGCAGAGATATCCTCAGAGGAGCTCACAGATTCCTGCCACATAAATGAAGACAAGTATTTATCACATGCGAGCGATCTTAACCGGGATGTAAGAGTCATTGTCAAATAAATCAGGTCGTAGCAATCTACGGACATTAAAGATGCTTATAATAGTTCTCACATGTGTATCACATGCTGGAAGAACATATCATCAAATGGTTTGTGTTGATTGGAGGATATTGTTGATAGAAAAGCTCAATAATGGGAGAATAGAATATGTTATTCCATTGTATTTTATTGTATTGATTCTCTTTCCTTAATTAGTCATAGGATTCCATGTATAAGTACCCAATTCTCATGGGATGTAGAAATATCCAAAAATACAAGCAAGTCTACTTCTCAAAAATCTTCGGGTCTAAAGCATCAAAAATAGCTTATGCAAAGGTTTAATGAAATCCTTTTTTTAGGGGATAAAGTAAGTCATAGACGCACTCAAGATCCATAAAGAAAAGACCTATGCAACATTAAAGTCATTGATGCCAGCTTCAATTGCTTATTATTTTGGCATCAATGACATCATTTTGCGCTCATTATGCAGTTTAATTTAACATTTTGCAGCTAAGGTAGAAAAATGACCAACTAAACAGTTTTTCTTCATCTGCACAGCCTACACAGTTGGCAGTTGCTTTGACCATTTCAAAATGGAATTAAGAAACAATTGAGAATCTCTGGAATTTTTTATGAAGAGTAACTTTGTATATATCCAATGCAGTGCTTAGGCAATGAAGGATATAAATAACTTTGGTTCTCAAAGTGAACAGTAGAAAAAGGAATATATGTTGTTCTAATAGCATCAAAAACTCCTGAGCAAATGGCATAACATGAGAAGATTCAGAAAGTTTTATTGCTCTACTTAAAAACTGCACCAGCTAAATCACGAGTTCCATTGACAAGGTAAGAGCTGCCACCCCACCCCACCCACCCCTCCAAAAAAAAGAAGTGTATACACTGCTTATGCATCTTGGTGGTTTTTAGGTGAATGAAAGTTCTAGTCAAGCCAAAGAAGAAATCCTGACATAACATGAGGATTCTATGAGTCCTGAACATTGAGCAAACAGTACATTCAATTACCTGCCACCCCACCCCACCCCAGCCCTCCAAAAAAAAGAAGTGTATACACTGCTTATGCATCTTGGTGGTTTTAGGTGAATGAAAGTTCTAGTCAAGCCAAAGAAGAAATCCTGACATAACATGAGGATTCTATGAGTCCTGAACATTGAGCAAACAGTACATTCAATTACCGTAAACTCACCCACCCCCCACCCAATGACGGAAACAAAGTCAATTGAATTCTTTCCCACCTGGAAGTGCAGACCACCTTTTGAAAAGATAAGTAAATATTATCATTTTAAGAAAAATAATTGTGGTGTCGGAACCAGCTTGCGCGCATCTCAACTAATTACATCGGATACCTAATACTTCTCACCAGCACAAGTCCCAGGTAACTCTGTTCACCATAGCTTAGATAGATGGGAAGATATCACCTAGTGTCTTCACCTCTGCTGGAATTTGAACCTGAGACCTCATGGTTCTCAACCCTCTTCATTGACCACTAAGCCAGTCACACCCTAGATGAATAGATAGGATCTTATGATCTTATCTACAAGTACAAACTCTCATGAAGAAGCTAATATGGAATCAAGTTCCACCAGAAGTAAGCCTTAAGACAGTACCCAATCTAATCAGTATCAACAAAGCTCACCCCAAAATTCAGTCTACATGAAATTCTGATAAGAGCATTGCATCTCATAAGGAAGAAGGATTTTCAATAACAAACCTTCAACTTCTCAGCAGAAGCAGCAATTCTTTCGTCTGTTTTTTGCTGTTTTTTCGACCATTTCTGTTCACTAATAAGCTTCCTTTTCCGTTGATCCAGAATCCATTTCTCCAGCATTGTATGCCTTGGAGATGATAACCTATCTGTGGATGCTGAAATATTATCATCCTCTTGATCTGTTTCTTGCACTGTAAATGAACTTGGTGCACAGATGTTAGAACTTAATGTGCAGATGTTAGAACAGTAACTAATCATACAAAGAGAAATATGTATGTACACTCAGCACACAGGAACATCAATCCCATGGGGGGGATTTGACCATACCATAATGGCAAAGAAAAAGAAAAGCAAGAAAAACAAAGGTCGAATCTGCATCTGTGCATGGAAGTTATAACAGAAGTTCGTTTTACTTAGATCCCCAAAGCTAAAACCAAATCCAAATAAAAGGGGGAAAGGTGATCTTTCGTAAGGAAATAGATAAGAGGTGAAATTCTTATATTATTCAGACCTTGTGACAGATTTTTCAGCGTTATATTTGAATCCTTCACTTGCATCATTGTAGGACTCTGATTAATTACTCCAGGAACAGATTTCCACTGTTGCCTCAAGGGTAAACTAGGCAAGTTACTATCAGCATGTCGATTTCCTTGAGCATTGCTATCAACAAGATTTTGAGAATGACCAGTATGATTATCTCTCACTAGCAGACCCAATCCATGGGTATTGGCAGAGGCAGGTGGTGATACCTTTGAAGCCTCAGTTCCACTCCTACCACTCAGATCAGGCTTCATTTGCTTGCTTGTGCCCATAACAGAGGAAGCTTGAGGAAACATTCCAAGTTGTTCAGTATTTGCAGGAGCATTCTCATGATTATAGGGAGGAAAGGATTTCGGATCAGTCAGAACTCCTCTAAGAGCAGATGCCTGTGATTCTGTAGCATCCTGGATGGACATTTCAGCATCCTGAATCATTCTCATTTTTCTTTGAGGTCTCCTTTCGTCAGCATGCTCAGAAGGATCAAGCTGACTATTTTTATCTTCCATCAAGTTTGCATTCTCAGCCTCCATTGACGAATTTGTATCAGTAAGAATTCCAGAAGGTGTAGGACCAGAAGAAAGCCTGTCAGTTTCGCCAGCTCCTCCAAATGTCCGTGTGACTTCAGATGCACTGCCTTGGTCAGTAACCAGTTGCTCCCTTCCTTTATGGTCAACCAATTCTCTGCGATCTATAGAACACCATATATTAGCACATGACACAGATTATATAACATTTGAATCAGAGCAAGAAAAAAATAGAGCTATTAAGCAGCAGATACCTTCTTTCGGATAGAAGTTTCCAAGTGCAATTTCAAGATGAAGCTTCTTTGGCATTAAACCATTCCTACAAGTGAGGAGTTATTGAAAACTGTGGCAGCCGGAAGCAAAAACTTCTTTGCATAATGACAAACACTAGAATCTAACTCATTATCCTACATACCTAAAAGCCAAAAACACAAGACATTGTGCCCTAAGCTGTTTCAAATGATGTTCTTTGAAAGGCATGGTAGATACAGGAGCCTGAGCAGCAACAGACAACATCCCTGCATCTCTGATTGTTTCACTTCTAAGTATACTCTTCTCTGGGACATTGTTGGGCATGCCCCCCTGTTAACACAAACAAATTAAGGCAAAGATGAAGCACAGAGAAACGGATACTGCTGAAAAAGAAAACCAACTACATACTATCACTTAATCTATTGTGTTCCTCGAAATCGAGAAGCCTAAACATAGTAAAAGGTTCTCTGTTCTATGCAGTCCAACTCAAGCAATAATTGGAAAGAAGATCAAAACTCCCCCAACTTGAAAAGCTAAGGAAAGGATTCCTAACAACTACAAGAGACAAGAATAATGAAGTTCAGTGTTTTGGAGATCCTTCTATTGGTGCTCACAGCATACCTGTGATAATAATAAAGATAAGTGTTTACACTAGTTAACCAAATGTTGTAATCCTCGATCTGGAAATCTTCTCCTAATCTTAGGAACTTGTATTGATGATGAAAATGCAACTAAATAAATTATAAAACAGATGTTACACGTGAAGATACACGAAAAAAATCATGTTATCCTGGCCCTTTAATTTTGCCTAGACTTCTGTATTAGCTGGTTCCAAATCATCACTTGTTACCTAGTTAAAGGAGCAATTTGGTAAACCATAACAGTATCCCCAGTTAAGACAAGGTATAACCAAATATCTATATGTAGACTGGCCTTTGGCAGGAGTGCTCACTGTTTTCTATGATAGTGCTCGAAATCGGGACACTCAGTACTTCAACTAGTCTCCATATTCCTCCGATGGATCTCTTTTTTTTTATATAATGCTAACATTCTATATATTAACAGGTATACTTTACCAACTGTATAGTCCCCCAAAATAGACATTACAAAATAGAGGAAAGCTTCCCGTCTATGTTCCTTCTTACATGTGGTCTAAAACATCAAAAATATCTTCAGTTTCTACTTAAATATCCTGTTTACACCAAAACTAACAAAATTAATAAAGGGGTAAACAATTTTCAACTTCTGGATATTGCATTGCTTATCCTCATAACACCTCTGATTTCTCTCTCCACACAGACCACCATATACATGCTGGGACAATCCTCCATCTCTCCTTCTGGTGGGATTAAATTCCCACTCTGGCCCAACTGTCTAGTATCTCCTTCATATTTCCTGGCATCACTCATCTGATCCCCTCCTCAAATTAATGAAGATTTTCCAAATCTGATTAGTCCAATTGCAATGTAAAAAGAGATGGTTGGTTGTGTCTGCATGTTCCCCACATAGATAACATATGAACATAATTCCCACTGCCAGGAATCAAATCACATAAAATGTCCAGCATTACAGTAGTCAGTTCTTCTAATAACACTGCATGTGAAGCATGGCATTTCTAAGAACCCCCCTCCCTAAACCTTAACTATCAGGGAAAAAAGTAAAGGAGTTTCCAGTCACTTTAGTACTGGGCCAAAGTTGCAAGTAGAGCTGCTATTAAGTAGTAACCAAATGCAGAAACAACGTGAATCCTTCATCAAAAGTAACCACTTACCTTTTTAATCAATACAATAAACGTAGACTTGTTTATGTCAAATCAAGATAGAATGTCATAAACATAGTAATTATCAGATGACACATTTACAAAACTGTTCAACAACCAACAACCCATTATAAGGAAAGAAGGAAAATAAGTACCTGACTGATCTTGCTAGCATTTCCTAACATATTAGATCCTCCTTCATGCTCTAGTGCTCTTCCCGCTGCAGTTCTGCCAACAACAAGATCAGCCGAGGTGGGACCAGAGAAAGGTTCTGTGCTTCCATCTTTGTGCAATTTTGCAGCATAACCATGATTATCAATTGAAGGACTTCCAAACTGCATTGGACTTGAAATTCCTGCCTCTACTGGCTGAGATGAATTAGAAGCAGGAGGCGCCATTACAGGAAGTTTGACACCTGTACCTGAATTAGAGTAGCACTTTACGACATTAAACTACCCTGAATGTACAACTAGTTTTCATCTCTCCTGATAGGGGAAATTTTGCACTCAGCTCAACAGGCGATATCAACATTGCTCCTACACTTAGAATGGCCAGTGCTAATGACATAACAAACATTCATGAAAGCGAAAGAGTATTGTCAAAATGAAAATCGAAAAAAAAGAAAGAAGGGTGAGATAAACAAATAAAGAGCTAACTTTCTTTAAACTTTATTTGTTATTATGTAAGATTAAAAGGACTGGGGAAGACAGGTGAATTATAAAGGAGGTTAAATAGGGGCAAGTCAAGGGCCCATCGGGATTGGGCATGAACAAGTCTCAACTGGGCTAGCATTGATGAAAATAGAAAATCCCCCCCCAGCATCATTAACCAGTGTCAAATTCAAGATCAGGTTCAGGATTCGAGTCAAATCAAGTAAAACTCTAGAAACACTCCAGAGAAATTTCCTTTGGGATGAAACATATGGAACCAGGCAATATACTTATAGTAACTAGTAAGATAACTGATTAGAGGCTGTCACATCCCCGAAAAAGTGGGATGGGCTTGAGTGACTCAGAGTGAAAGACCTCAAGGAGTTCAACAAAGTTCTGTTAGAAAAATGGACATGAAGATTTGGGATGGAGGAGCACGTTTTTAAGGGTAGTGATGGCAGAAAAGTATGGTGCTGTCAAGTGCCAAGGGGGAATGGAAGACTAGAAAGATCAACTTTCCATTCAGGCGTAACCTTTCTTTTTGATAAGGTAAGAGATTTTATTAAATGGTACCAAGAAGGTACAGGAGAAGAAACAAAACACCATAAAACAAAAGGCAGCCTCCTACCCTCTTCTTCCAAGCATATCCAATAAATCCATATACTGATTCAAACTATTTATTAAACTAATGTGAGTACCCTTCCCTTCAAAGCAAGCTTTGTTCCTCTCTAACAAAATTGTCCAAAAGATGCATAGAGGGATGCAAAGATTTCCATTCGGGCATAGACTTTGGAGGTGCATTTATGAAGGAATGCAAAGACTTCAGCGGCCACGTTACTGAAGCAAAATAAGCTTTTGCGTGATAGGTGGTGTAGAGAGAACATGCTGAAAATTACTTGCCTAATGTACAAGTATAAAGAGTCTCGAGCAAGATAGTATTGGTGGTGCAAGTACATGACGGGTGCTTTTCTTTTTTTTGTTACATTGGAATCCCACATTTAAGAGAAACTTGCAATATTTGGGAAATGGGTCAATAGCAGAACCTAGTAGGATTACCATATAAACAGGAACACATTGCAAATGAATGAGATGAGGGAGATGGGGAGAGATGGACAATTCTCAGTAGAATCATACTACCAAAAACTATTGATGAGATCGTGCAGGATGAAATGGTGTTCCTGCATCTCACAATTTGGCTACCAGAGTGACCAAAAGAGTGTGCTTCTTTGTGTACTTAACATAAAAGGAAGGAAGAGGAAGATCACACATGTGTCAGTTGGTGCTATATGTATAGATGTTCAAGAGAAGATGTAGATCGCCTCTTATTACATTGTCAAGTAGTTACTACATTTGGTGGAAGTTCTGAATTGGTTTAGAATACAGTAGGTCATTCCAACTACAATAAAATTGGCATTATGTAGCTGGATTTCTACAAGGGAGAGAAGACTCTGGGCACAACAGATAGCCCCACTAGCTCTTATGTGGGTAATATGAAGGAAGACAAATAGGAGAGATTTTTAAGTGATCGAAAATGTTTTTGCACATGTGGAGAATATCATGTCTCTGATTTCATTTTAGTGTACTATGAGATTCTTTTTTGGATTAATGATTGAATGGCACTTTTTAATAAATAGATAGGTAAAAGGTCTTTTGTGGAAAACCACATTTTAACCTAGGTTTCTCTACTTTTTGCTATACCACTTATATTATCAGGAAGATGAAAAGAAATCACCTAGTGTTTTCGTCTCCGCTAGGATTTGATCTTGAGACCTCTTGGTTCTCCTCCCACTTCGTTAACCACACCCTTGGGTGCTGCACTCACTCACTCCTTATGCAAAATAGGAACCCGTCCAACAACTTAAATATTGTTGACTCTCAAGTTCCAATTTATCTACAAAAACAAGGCTTCAATAGTAAGCCACCCTGATTTTTTTGAGTAAAAGATGTGTTCACACTTGCGTACACCACTACACATCAACTAATCCACCAAATACATGCTCCCTCCCACAACATAAGTATCTAGTAACTCCATCCACCAAAGCTTAGACATATAGGAAGAATTCAACTAGTGTTGCATTTCTAATATTCATTTTGTGGTTCTCGAAGTTGTACCCCAACTTTTTGACCACCAAGCCATCCTTTGGGAGTAGGACTGTTACTTGATATGTGTCATACATCAAAGTGGTTTAATAACATGATCAAGAAATAGCATTAAATCGCTTACAAACCAAGCTACTACAAACCTTTGGCGACAAGACATGGTTATCTGTTGTTTCATTTTCTTCTCCTTCCTAATTTTATGTAGAAAATGCACAGTTCCAAATGCATATTGGCCATCTACATATGTTTTATCAAATTGTAATCTTCTTTTTTGTTCGGTGAATATTTTAGTTTCCCCAACACTAGACAATATGAATGATTTGCCATGCTTGCAAGTTGCAAGTTAGCAGACAAATCGTTGTACTTACCACTTATGTGGGGTGCAGATGCTTGATAAATACCATGTCCGCTGCCGCTTGGACCGCTAACCATCTCATTTCCCAGAAAATTTGCTTTAGAGTCTCTATTAACCCCTGGCCTCTGTGAAGATCCTGCAATAACACTCGATTCGTAAAATATAAAAATAGCCAGCAAGACATGGCTTGGACTTCTTGCCAATACATATTAGTGAAGTGCATTGAAGTGCAACAAGTATCATTCTACCAGCTACTTGTGATGATGCAGCTTCTCCTGCTTGTGCTGCAGCAGACACAGGAAGACGCGAGGACATTAAAGCCTCAATGTCAAGACCATGTTGCTTGACGACAGTCTCCATTGCCCTTGAATCAACAAAAGAGAAATTAGGGAAGTCAAGAAAACTGTAACAGTACAGCATGTCAGAGATGAGTATCGAGAACTCTGAACTATATCACAATCAATATTTAGTAGCTTCTAGCGTCAGCCAGCCAACCACAGCACTAGGATGCATTTTTGTTAATCCAGGAGGCATAGTATCATGGGCAACTACCATTATACTGTGACAGTTATACTTTCCCATCATAGCTGGAAAGTACAATAATATAATGATTGAAAAAACAATTATTGAACAGAAAGATGATTGAAGGCGGGAAATATGCAATAAATTCTATGATGCTCTAAATATATGGATGGAGTTTAAGACGCTATACCTTGATATTACTTGATAAGGCATTGAGCTCTCCTTCCCGCTGGATCTCATATGTTGTAAAATCTGAGTCATGAGTAGTACAACTTAATACAGGTAAATACTAGAATTTTGGAAAACATACAACATAAGAGATGTATACACACCACATAAAGCTTTGTAGCCAATTTAGTCGGCTCATCCTTAGACTCTTGAATAAGCTTGTGCAGAAACTTTGCTGCCTCCAGCTCAACATTATTTGGATTGGTCATCTTCTTGCTCAAACTACACAGAATTGCAAAGTAAAATCTAGCAAATCATAACTAATATCAAAGCCCCCATGACTTTGTAGCAACATCCAATCCAACACCATAAAGAAAGAGAACAAACAAAGAGCACAAAATATTCAATTCCAACTTCCACTCAATTGCAAAATTTCAAAAGAATAACTCAAAGCATCTTGTCACCATTAGTTCATACTTCATAGTACACAATTACTAAACAAGCAACTAATAAAGGAGCTAACGGCTTTCGAGAGCAAGCCCATTGTCTAAGCTCAGGTACTTAAGTTCATCCTTCTCATATCCATCCAGGCCAATGGCTTGTCAAGAAAATACTCGAGTATCCGAATCTCATTTCCTCCAGTACAAAAGTGGACAGACAGGTGAAATCACATGAGAAGAACCTCTTAGTAGAGTCCACTCCCCAGGAAGACTGAATAGCACTTCTTAGTGATTGCTATGGATTCATCAATAACAAAAGAGCGAAAGCAACAAGTACACCAATGTGGTGGTCATACCAAGGAGTCCCAGACAAGGGAGGAAACCACCACCAAAGCCCTCCCCCTAACCTCTCCAATTTTAACTTTCAACCTTCAATTCAGAAATTTTCCAGGAAAAAGAATCCAGTCCCTTCTAAACCAAACTAAGCTTTTAGGTAAAAAATTCCATTTGACCCTCTTCTACACAAGTCATCATCATCACTCCTCATAAATCCTTCCTCCAATGTTCAATTACACAGTAAAGCCCCATAACCTACAACCAATTTTCATTCTTAAACAAGAAACTAGTCATTCTAGAATCACTCTACACCCAAAAAGGGTAAGGAAAGAAGAACCCTATTTATAACAACCACAGTTAGGTTTCCAAATGAAGCTAAACATAAATGACAAATCTATCATCAGTTACAATCTACTCCAATTACAAGCCACTGACGGTTCCAACTAGCAAAGATCAATTTTTTTTCACAGAAAAAGTGTTAATAAACAAAAAACAGCGGTGACATATGAGAATTTTGGAAACAAGTAAGAGAATTAGGGTTTTTTACCTGATCGCAGCTTGAGGAATCAACCAGATGAACTAGGCAAAGCTACATGTATATCGAAAAAAGTACAAAGAGAACACGAACACTCTCGAAAAATCAATTCTCCTGAGTAATTTTTTTGAGCTTTGTGACTCTTCGATTGATAGATGAATGAAATTTCAGCTTAACATTTTTCTGAAGTGCTTTTATAGTAAAAAAGGGCTTTGGGATTGTGAAGATTGAAGAGTTCCAGTTTCGGTCTTTCTATTATTTCCTTTTTTCGTCCCTGTAACCTCTGCCCTGTTTAGTTTTGCCCCAGAAAGAATTAAGAACCACCAATTTCAACTTTCAAGTATTTCTTGGAGTCCGATTATTTCGAATTTGGGTCGTGTAGGGTCTTATTCGGGAGAAGCGCTCCTATCAAGGATTTTTTCATATTCACGACTTGAACCCGAGACCTTTAATTAAGGGAATAACAGTCTCATCCACTGCACCACATCATTTGGTGGTGTGTTGATAACATGCTATGTTGGAAACATTGCAAATATGCCCTTTTTTTAATTGATCTGTATTTTTTTAATTAAAAATTGTTTATCTTGTCTTTTTTAAATTAAGAAAAGTATAGTTTGGTTTAGAAGGGACTGGATTCTTTTTCCTGGAAAATTTCTGAATTGAAGGTTGAAAGTTAAAATTGGAGAGGTTAGGGGGAGGGCTTTGGTGGTGGTTTCCTCCCTTGTCTGGGACTCCTTGGTATGACCACCACATTGGTGTACTTGTTGCTTTCGCTCTTTTGTTATTGATGAATCCATAGCAATCACTAAGAAGTGCTATTCAGTCTTCCTGGGGAGTGGACTCTACTAAGAGGTTCTTCTCATGTGGTTTCACCTGTCTGTCCACTTTTGTACTTGAGGAAATGAGATTCGGATACTCGAGTATTTTCTTGACAAGCCATTGGCCTAGATGGATATGAGAAGGATGCACTTAAATACCTGAGCTTATACAATGGGCTTGCTCTCGAAAGTCGTTATCTCCTTTATTAGTTGCTTGTTTTAGTAATTGTGTACTATGAAGTACGAACTAATGGTGATAAGATGCTTTGAGTTATAACTAGACTGACTCGTCTATGAAACCTTCAACATACTAAAGATAGGTTACCATGACAAGATCTGGACTACTTGAATACTCTGCTAACAATATATACCAACTATTAATACTCAAGATAAATTAGATCCCTCTGAAAGTAAGAAAGTCTTATCAATGTTCGATGAAATCATTCTTAATGATCTGCCTGTTGTCATGAGTATCTGAATCTGCATCATAAAACGATGCAGCGTCGAATAGCACCGGTACATGAATGTACATTATGTAAATAGTTGAGTGAAACAAGTGTCTAAAATTAAACATACTGAGATTAAATAAGTAAACATAGACTGAAACAAGGGCAACGAAATAGTAAAACATGCATGAGTGCTTTAATAACAAAAAATTAAAATTGAATATATACAATAATAGCAAATACTAAAAAATAATATAATTGTACTTTTCATGGAGAGTTTCTCTAACCGACAACCATCACTTTGAGCATCGTGATTATACAACATCTTGCTCATGTTGCTAAAGTCAAACTATACCTTGTCAGAGTAAAAGACAAATTGAACTAATGGATCCAATCTTTAAGTCCTTACCGGGCTTTCTAAGAAGTTGCCTGAATCAACAACACAAAACTATCATACACTAGTGGCATAGTTATGGGGTTTGAATTATTTGAATCATTACTCAATTCAATGCTCAATACTAATCTCAAAATAATGCAATAATATTCAGTAACTATATGATATCCCATTTAGGGAAAAGGTTCCACTTTAGGTGAAAAACTGAAAATCTGATACTTTAAATCTATGCTCTATAATACTTCTTTAGAATTGAACTGAACTTTAAGACACTTGACTATGTTTTTCTAAAAATCTAGCTATTCTTTCTCAAATTTAGGATATTCTTTTTTTTAATGTTAAACATGCTTTCTTTAAGAAATTATTTATACTTTCTTTCTGAAAATATGTATCTTGATGCAATAATACATTTTCTTGAAACTCTTCTAAAATAATGCACTTGAATCAAAATATACTTTCTTGAAAGACTTTTTAAAAATTTTGAAACTTACTTTACTTATGAAAATAGTGCATATGAATTTCTATGACAAGGTTTTCAAGTAACTTTTAGCTAGAAAGGGTCCAAGTGGTATAATAAGCATGAACCATAAATCAAAGATCATCAATGTTTTGAAGTACCATAATTTCGATAATAAAATCAAGAATCAACAATAGAAAAATAGAGTGAATTCAAAAATCATGGACTTTGGGATAAAAATGCTATCTTTGATCTTACTAACTAAAATGTAGATGTTGGGCGTAAAGGACTATTTTCTCACCATAATAGCTTTACATATCTAAACGCTCCACAAATATTGAAAAAGAATCCTAACTTGATGAAGAACAATCAAGAAATCCTTTCTATAAATTTTTGGATTCATTTATTGAAAATCCTATGTTTTGATGGTAGATTCTTTCTTAGGATATATAATTATATATTAGAATCACTATAAAATTTTGAGAGTATGTTTACCTTGATTTAGAAGAAAGAACTTTTGATGGACTTGCTCAAAAATAAAGTTTTGAATCCTAGAATTGAGTTATTGATTTCACTAGAGATAGGAAGAGGATTTGATGTTAGAATCTTATAAGAATTCTAGGATTTATGTTGAAAGTTCTTCCGTTCACAAAGAAGACTTACCAAGACTTAGTAGAGTTGAAGAGAGCTTTTGGAGGATGTTGTGGTCAACCAAGGGTGAAAGTGAGAAAAGAAACTCAAGATAGTGTTTTTATGAAATCTAAAAAATGTGATATACAACTGACATACGTGTGATATACATGATTTACAGACCTTTTACGACTCATAAGCATAGAATGCTACATGGATCGTGGATTGAATCAATGGATTTCATATACAAATTTCCAATCTCTGATCCCAATCCATGAGCTAAATCCATGGCTCATGGTTTCTTCCGCAATCGGTGGTGGTTAGTTCGTATAACCTGAAGCAAAATTCTCATATTGGAGCGTCTTTGGTAAAACGACCATAACTTTCTAAACTGAACATAGATTGACGCAAACTTAGTGGCATTAGAAAGAAGACTTATATAACTTTATTTGACAGGTCATGAGTCACCTAACTCTTTATATATAGAGATATATGGTCATTTAAAGTTGACTACAGAAATTGTGACATCTTGTTGAATCCTATGTGTTTGAATTTTAAGATCACATGTTGAGTTGTGGTTGTTGTAATCTATTCTATCTAGTCCTCACTCTAAAACAATCAAATCTTTGCAACACTATTAGCTATGACATGTTGTAGACCAAATCTTTTTAAACTATGTACGAGTATTGATGTCTTCTAGTAACTTCTCAAAAGAGTTTTGAGTGTTAGCAACTATTATATTCTAGAAAATATTTTATCAATCATTGATCAATATTATTTGGGTTGGCCTTATTGCTCTTTGTTGTCACTTGTAGTGGAAGGGTATTACCTTTTTCCTTCTTATTTACACTTTTAAGGTTGGTAATTTATTTGGGAAAATTGTATGAAATAGCAAACTATTAATTCAAATTAAATGTTATAGCTATAGTTTATTTTATTTGTAATTCGCAACAAACATTCCATTTTTTTGCTATTTGGTTCGGTATACAATTAGCCATTTTCGGTATACAAATGTATAGAATGTATAAAATGTGTTTGTGTTTGTATAAAACGAGAGAAAAATGTATATACAAATACAAATACATATATTTTCGTCATATACACTTATAATTATACAAATACAAATCTTTTATACAAATTATAATGTATAAATGAATTTATACAAAACTGAACAATTTGTATAAAATTGGATGTATCTAGCGAATTATACAAATCAAAAGCTCCATAGCAAACATAAAATTTGCTATGGAGCGCAATTATGCAAACTATAGCTATAACATACAAATATGATTTTTATGTTTGCTATATGTGAAAGTTGTTCAATTTATTTTGGTGATAAATCACTAGCCTTGCCTATTTGCTATATGTTCTCTTCAATGTTATTCTCCTCTTTTATATCTCTTATATGTGCTTAATATGCTCTTTGGTCATATCCTGCAATTCTACACCCTTCTATAAGTTTTATTTGGTATGATATTATGCAGGTGTGGGCATAAGTATCCAAAAATTGAAAAATCGAATTGAATTGAACTAATTCGATTCATCAGTTTCAGTTTTTTAGTTTGATATCAGTGTTATTTTTTTAAAAAGTTTGTTTCTTCGATTTGATATTCGATGTAAGGCTCTCAGAATTTTGGTGCATTGAAGAATCGAATTAAATTCAAATAGTCTATTCTTTGTCTTCAGCCCTTTCTCAGACATTGGGGTGGTTTTAGATGTCAATTGTGTACCCCTTCTATACCTATTTTTTCTATTTTTGTTCCTTGAATGTATTTGTGTGTCTTCTTTCCTTCGTTTATCTAATCAATACTAACTTTTTCCTTTTGTTCTATACTTGTGTTAGTGTTTTTTACTACATCTGAATTTTCTGTGGGTGTCTCTTTTGAGTTTTCTTTTCTTATCTTATCACCTTGTTTTTCTTCTTCTTCCAATGTTTTTGGATATAACTCCGGATGTATAACAAAACATTCAACCTCATTATGTTCCTGTAGTTGCACTTTTTGCAATACTTTAGGATATAATCATATTTGACGTTTTTACTCATTTATATATGGCCTCTCTTGTACTTTGCTTTTTTATTCCTACATTTTTTTCTTTTTGGGAATTCCCTCAACAAGTCCACTTCACCTTAACCTTAGCACAACAAGATCTAGTTTGATTTCTAGTAGCCATGTCAGGTTTTCCAACAATTGAGGCTAGGGAGAAACTGATAAATTTGAAAGATATCATAGGTTAAGAGTGATCACTTAACTCTGTCTTGAAAAAACTTTTAGCTATAAGGCAATGAATATCAAGTTATAAATGTATCATATAGATCACTCTCTTAATGGGGAGGAATATATAAAGAGGAGGAGTTATTTTAACCTAATAGAATCATCTTCTACAACTTAAATAATATTTCACAACCAACTTAAGAGATGTCAATATTATTTAGTAAGCAATAGG